TATCATGTACTCTTGATAGGCTGCATGGGCAACGGACTATCGCAACACCAACGTGTACAATATCATGTAGTTCAGCACTGCCCTCGCCCAACACTGCTTCACTGCTTGCCTGCTTTCCCTGCTTTCTATTTTTTTCTCAACCTCTTAATTCTTATCCTCGCCCTTGCCCTTGTTTAAATTTAATTTCGTCTATTTTTGCCCCGTCACTGCTGTGTGCTGCTGGTGTTGAGACCGAAACCAAAGGTTACGGAGCCTATAGCACCCCATCATCACCGCTAGTGCAGCCCCACTCATGCAATTGCTGTCCAGACTCCTGTTCGTTCTACAATCATGTACATGTACATGCACCTTGGTCTTTAACCCCCCCCCCCCCTTCCGTCCTGTTCGCTCTTGTCTTGTCCTTTCCTTCTTTGCGAGCTGGGTGTGTGATAGAAAAAAAGAAAACGAAGAAGAAGAAGAAGAAGAAGCAGAACTAAGAAGGATTGTTTCCATGAACTTTGTTCTGTCAGTGAGTGATCTACGTCAGCACGACAGTGTATGAGATAGTTTCACCTGCTCATAAGCTACAATATTGTTAGAATCCCCACTCATGCAATTGCTGTCCAGACTCCTGTTCGTTCTACAATCATGTACATGTACATGCACCTTGGTCTTTAACCCCCCCCCCCCTTCCGTCCTGTTCGCTCTTGTCTTGTCCTTTCCTTCTTTGCGAGCTGGGTGTGTGATAGAAAAAAAGAAAACGAAGAAGAAGAAGAAGAAGAAGCAGAACTAAGAAGGATTGTTTCCATGAACTTTGTTCTGTCAGTGAGTGATCTACGTCAGCACGACAGTGTATGAGATAGTTTCACCTGCTCATAAGCTACAATATTGTTAGAATCATGGTGACACCTTGTGTACTGGGCCGACCTTTTAAAACTCTCGTCTCTCTAGTATGCTAGGTGTAGTCTATTGTAGCTGCAACAATAATTATCATGAAATGAAATACATGTAGGGGAGCGGGAGGAAAACGCAGGCCACCGTGGATACGCCCGAATGAAGGGAGAAATACAATGGATTGTACCGAATAGCGCTGACGTCAATGGACGTACACTGATGTACATGTGAAATCCTGGCGGATGCAAGCGAGCTTGAAAGAGAGAGTGATTGTGTTTGTGTCGATGTGTGTGTTTGCCTGCCCGCCTGTGTCTGCACGTGTGCGCGCGTGTGTGTGTGTGTGTGTGTGTGTGTGCGTGTGGTGTGTGTGTGTGTGCGTGTGTGTATCACTGTATGTTTGTGGCCACCGTCATCGCTGCTCCAAACACTGTCACCGTCCAACAGCAAGAGAACGGGACAAGTAATGTTTCCATGCATGCATGCATCTGCGCGCGCTGGGTCCGATGACCTCAGTGTGTGTGTGTGTGTGTGTGTGTGTGTGTGTGTGTGTGTGTGTGTGTGTGTGTGTGTGTGTGACCAAAAAAGGGATTCACTGGCCAGAAAATGTCACTCCAAATAGCTGTATGGTGTAGACCAGGCTGAATAGTGACGGTCAATTCTTCAGCCTTGCAAGCTGTTGAATGGTGTAATCCCAGCACAAGTTGCTATGGCTTCTGCCGTAGCATTGCTATCATCGCCTCCGGCGATGGGCGTCAAAGGTCAAAGGTGTGTGTGTGTGTGTGTGTTGAATGGTGCAATCCCAGCACAAGCTGCTATGGCTTCTGCTGTAGCATCGCTATCATCGCCTCCGGCGATGGGCGTCCAATGATCCAATGGTGTGTGTGTGTGTGTGTGTGTGTGTGTGTGTGTGTGTGTGTGTGTGTGTGTGTGTGTGTGTGTGTGTGTGTGTGTGTGTGTGTGTGTGTGTGTGTGTGTGTGTGTGTGTGTGTGTGTGTGTGTGTGTGTGTGTGTGTGTGTGTGTGTGTGTGTGTGTGTGTGTGTGTGTGTGTGTGTGTGTGTGTGTGTGTGTGTGTGTGTGTGTGTGTGTGTGTGTGTGTGTGTGTGTGTGTGTGTGTGTGTGTGTGTGTGTGTGTGTGTGTGTGTGTGTGTGTGTGTGTGTGTGTGTGTGTGTGTGTGTGTGTGTGTGTGTGTGTGTGTGTGTGTGTGTGTGTGTGTGTGTGTGTGTGTGTGTGTGTGTGTGTGTGTGTGTGTGTGTGTGTGTGTGTGTGTGTGTGTGTGTGTGTGTGTGTGTGTGTGTGTGTGTGTGTGTGTGTGTGTGTGTGTGTGTGTGTGTGTGTGTGTGTGTGTGTGTGTGTGTGTGTGTGTGTGTGTGTGTGTGTGTGTGTGTGTGTGTGTGTGTGTGTGTGTGTGTGTGTGTGTGTGTGTGTGTGTGTGTGTGTGTGTGTGTGTGTGTGTGTGTGTGTGTGTGTGTGTGTGTGTGTGTGTGTGTGTGTGTGTGTGTGTGTGTGTGTGTGTGTGTGTGTGTGTGTGTGTGTGTGTGTGTGTGTGTGTGTGTGTGTGTGTGTGTGTGTGTGTGTGTGTGTGTGTGTGTGTGTGTGTGTGTGTGTGTGTGTGTGTGTGTGTGTGTGTGTGTGTGTGTGTGTGTGTGTGTGTGTGTGTGTGTGTGTGTGTGTGTGTGTGTGTGTGTGTGTGTGTGTGTGTGTGTGTGTGTGTGTGTGTGTGTGTGTGTGTGTGTGTGTGTGTGTGTGTGTGTGTGTGTGTGTGTGTGTGTGTGTGTGTGTGTGTGTGTGTGTGTGTGTGTGTGTGTGTGTGTGTGTGTGTGTGTGTGTGTGTGTGTGTGTGTGTGTGTGTGTGTGTGTGTGTTCTCGCACGTGTTGTCCAGGGCTGGCTGCAACCTCTTGCTGAGGCACATCTCCCCGAAAGCCAGTGTGGTTTTCGGCGCGGGCGATCCTGCACAGATGCTGCACAGATGCTGCACAAATGCTGCACAGATGCCATCTTTTGCGAGTGACAGGTAGTTGAGAAGGCATTCGAGCACCGCCGTAAGGTCTTTCTCGTTTTCATCGACCTCCGCAAGGCGTAGATCTACGACTCGGCACCACGCGCTGCACTGTTGCTGGCTCTTGAGGTGTATGGTGTGCCTGGGTCACTCATCATCGGGCCAGCTGATTGACGGTTTCCATTCAGGCATGCAGGCTGCTGTTCGGGTTGATGGTGATGTGTCTGGGAGCATCTCGGTTTAGAATGGTTTGCGGCAAGGGTGCGTTATGGCCCCACTGTTGTTTAACCTGTACTTAAGTCTTTGGTCTTGTGTTGGAAGCATGGGGTACAGCTATAGCAGCAGCTGGTGTTAACGGTGTGTCCTGGATATCTTCAATTCATGGAAATGGCAATCTATTTCCCAAGCGAACCCGTCAAACTGGCACGACATCGGTCAATGACCTGGAGTTGGCGGATGATGATTATTATTATTTGAGGGATTCCCCAAAGGCCGAAGCCTAAATCAAGGGGTCTCCGAGAATAAAATTAATATACGTGTACAATAGGGTTCAATTTTTAAAGGAAGAAAATATTAAGATACATGTAAAACAGATTAATGTGAAGTCTGAGTAGAAGCAAGCGAAAAGGGTACTGGCAAAGAAGGGGGGGGGTAATCAGGAAGTGAGAAAACCTCGAGGATGGAATCTATACCTGTGGAAATGGGACTTAACGTGCCGGCTAAATACACCACGGGTTTCAGATATCCTAATCTCGGCAGGCAGGGAGTTCCACGTGGTGATCATGGAATGTAGAAGAGTGGAGCGGAAACAGGGACCAGTGTGAGTGGGCAGGAGGTAAAAGTGAGGACGTCGTGCACTCTTGGATAGATATTATGTTGAAATTATTGAGGGTTTCCGGGTATTGGCGGGTGAAATGGTAAAACAGTTTGAGGGAGGGAGGAGCTAGGAGCTAGGAGGGAGGGAGGGAGGGAGGGAGGGAGGGAGGGAGGGAGGGAGGGAGAGAGAGAGAGAGAGAGAGAGACTGTTTTTCAGACTTTCAAGTCTTCCAGTTTCAATCCCTCAAACTCCTACAATAAAGACTACAATGTCATGTCATCAGTGTCATGGATCAGGCTGCAGGATGTTCAGTGTTCACAAAATGTCAACCGTGATGTTCAGTGTTTTGACGGGCCGGATAGTCTGCATGCGGTAGGCCTTCTAGTTTTTCACTCCAAAGAAGTCCATCTGCATCAGGGACAGGGCCTAGGGAGTCGTCAAATAGGCATTCAAGGCAGTAGACTACGTACGTAGGTATCGGATAGCGTGGGTGTTTGAAAAACGACTTTCTATTCTTATTAAAAAAATTTCCGATATTTCTTACACACGGTAAATCAAGTGTGACATATCATGTGCATGTGCGCAGAGGCAGGAAGAACATCGTACATGTAGATCTACATGCAATTTTAGTAATACGGTGCATGCGGCTAGCTGGTCATAGTCACATAGCCTCATAGGCTTAGTTACCATGTGGCTATGCAACATGAGTTACTAGTACATGACCACAACAGTTGAACCTGCAGCACTACGACCCAACGCGAGTCAGATCGGAACAGCATTGGACGGATATTATTACTATAGGCGATATACTTTGTACTAATCTGGTATATTCTATTGTACGATAAAATAATTGCTTGTATTATGTGCACTTGAAATCCATGTTATGATTATGAAAACATGAGAGTTCATTCTTGTAGGCAGTATATTCTTTTACACGACCACGCTATAACCGATACGCACTGTATTTGTCTTCTTGTCTTTTGTCAGTTTTGAGGCCTTGGCTTGGGCCGAATAGGGCCCCAGGGAGCCCTACAGGCTACAAGTCATAATGTCAGTACCGGTATGTGCTGGCTGGCTAGGCTCCCTGAGTCCCTGTCCGGTACTGATCACAAGGCAGTTTGGGTACGAGTCCCTGTTGGTCAATGGTCACAAAGATCACGACGATCGTAAATCTACGACATGACGTGTACCTGTTTTGCACGTTGCCAACTGACTGTGCGCATGCAACCGTTTGAAGTGGCCCTGGCCGCAAAGCAATGTTGCATTTTTGTTTTTGTGTACAATGACATGTACTCGATCGAGTCGTTTGTTCTTCAGAATCAGATGTTACGAATTTTTGGACTTTTCTCTTGCTGGCCAAGGAGCAATATTTGGTTATAAGATCGTCTGGCAACAGTTTTTCAGTCCTGTGTGCCACTTTTCGACGCTCGCAGTTATACTTCAGCTAGGTCGTTTGGCTCGTAGCCTCGCAGAGCAGGTCAAGCTAAATTGAAGGATACTCCAGGGTAGTGATGAATGTAAGAAGACACATGTAAGTTTTCGTCTTCTCTTCGAGGCCAGTCGACATCTCGTTGGTTGGGATAGTTCGTGGCGAGCACTGCAGAATGCGGAGTGGAGCACGCGTCAGCAGGGCTTGTGCTTTTGGGGCACGTTCTTGCCCACTTTTGACTTTAGTGTGGTTTTCCGTTCTGGTTTGATTTCATGTCAGTAAGCACAAAGTTGGACAATTCACCCCAATACAAGTCAAAGTTCGCGATGCAACCTCGAATGATCCATGGGGTCCTCCGACTGCTTTGCTAGCAGATATCTCTGATGCTGCTCAAAACCCGTAAGTAGCTTCGATTCGCCGTCTTGTTCTATCTCTGCTCGAGTACGAGAATACATCAGACTCGAGAGTTGTCAAAAGTGACAGCTTTTACTGTCAACATGATTGTATACTTGTACGTAGATCTACGTGTACGTGTACGTGTGCCGAAGACCCATAGTAGTAACGTGGTTACATTTTCTCGAATTCAGGAGAATAATAAATTATGTGGGCTGAAGCAGATCATTGTACTTGTGTGTAATTGTGCAGTCATCATGCATGCAAGAGTTATCTGTCATTAGTACAGCTTTAGTGTACAGTAGAGTCGCGCGTTGAAGAACGTGGAGCCCAAGAACGTCCAGCCTGAAATTCTAAGAACGCCACAGCCTAAAGTTAAGAACTGCGGTGTTGGTTTTCTGGCAGCTTGTGGGATACATATGATCCAGTACGGATTGTTTTTAAGAACGTGCTGTAAGAACGCAGCCAGATTGCAGAAAAAATAAGAACGCCCCAGGCTAACCCCTTGGAAACAACGTTCTTGGGCGTGCGACTCTACTGTACATGGTCATGTGCATGTAGCGGTATGATAGGGGATAATAGGTGATGGGATAATAGGTGATGGGATAATAGGTGATGGGATAATAGGTGATGGGATAATAGGTGATGGGATAATAGGTGATGGGATAATAGGTGATGGGATAATAGGTGATGGGATAATAGGTGATGGGATAATAGGTGATGGGATAATAGGTGATGGGATAATAGGTGATGGGATAATAGGTGATGGGATAATAGGTGCCTTGGGTACTAAGTACAACACGGTCTTGCTGCGTATGCACGGATGTTGTCTTATCAGAGTTCAACTACCAAAGGATGTACAGTAGAAGTCACTTAGTACGAACTCTGATAATACATACCCTTGCTTCATACGGACAATGTATGGAGCACTGGTGTATTGATCCGTACTGACGTGTGTGTTGGGATAAGAAGTACTTTGGATACTAAGTACACTTTCCTCCTGCCCACGGGGGGGGGGGCATCTTAGCAGAGTAGCACTGTACTCTGTACATGTAGTCATGTACAGAGTACAGTCCACCGCGTCATGCACAGCCCACCTCGTCATGCACAGTCCACCTCGTCTTGCACAGTCCACCTCGTCAATAACAACCTCAGTAGTGTAACACGAACTCGAGAATAATTACACAATCTTCAGACATTGTAGTGACCATTTGTCGGCATACTTTCAACGTCGCCATAACGACACTTTTCTCATGCACGATCGAGTGTCATCATTCGCAAGGTTGACTGTACGCATGTAGTACAGTCCAGCTTCACTAGATCGGGGCGCTGTGCAATAGTATCTACCTGGTCTCAAATGAATGTCTGAATGCGCCACTACAAGCCAGCTTGTGCAGGCTGTGGCGTTATGTTTCAATAGAACCTGGACATGCAATGACGTCAAATCCGCTTTATATGGGAGCGAGCTGAGTTGCAAAATGTCCATTTATGGGTAAAGTGCGAACAGAAATCCATATATAGAAGAACTTTGAATGGCAAATATTACTCGAAGAGGAAATTTCAAATCCCATGGTTCGAAATAACATAAATCCAATACTAATCGATTTTTTCGGTCAACAACTGCTTTGTGTTCTCACATTCTCGGAAGCAGAGCAGCTAATGTACATTTGTGACAAAATGAAATCCAGACCAGATGTGCACTTGCAGGATTATTCTGCGTGGTGGCAACCGTTGCGAGTTCCGTCGGGGGTAGAGACAGATTTTTACTTTTTTTTTGTTCATTTGCTGCACCGAAAGCCACTTGCAAAGCCTTGGCATTCTAAGTGCAGTCTCTAATGTATGTGTATGGGCTTATCAGAATTGTATCATGGCTGTGAAAGTGTCACTCTACATTGGTCTGGATTTTTGCTTGCTGTGGCATAGGTGGAAAGGACTTGACGTTGTTTGTCAGAATAATATTTCCCATGTGTCCAAAATACTTCTGTGTATTTCATTGTTTTTGTTCTTTTCTCGTTGCCCGTATCGTGCGTGCGGTCAGGGACATTCTCGATGAAATCTTTCAGATAATCTGGAAACGCCTCGGCGACGATGGAAAGAACTGGCGCCATGTCTTCAAGGTTGGTCTGTTTACTTGGCTTTCATGGAGGAGGAGGGGGGGGGGTGCAAGGGGTGGGGCACCTCATCACCATGCAGTTTTAAAAAGGTAGCTCAAACCTCTTAACAATTGACAGAAAGGTACCTGGGTTTTTGCTTTAACTCGAAGCTTGGGTTGTATATGGTCAACAATGGTATTCACTAGGGCTCAAACAGTTAGTCCGATTAACCGGTTTAAGACCGGTTTTGAAAAGATAAAGGTTAACCGTTTGTGTAAAGGTTACACGGGTACGAGCTGTGAAGCTGTCCAACGTAGCGGAGTGCTTCAGCAGTGTGGGAGGGAGGCTAGCGGCACGGATGATGCTGGTGAGGGCTTCCACATCTCCATCAGCGTGGTGGATCCTGAAAGTCAAATCAGGAACCAACTCCTGCTGCAACGTACCTGTACTGTATGACTTCAGCCCAGGCCTTGCTACCTTCAGCACTGTACCGGCAAACTATCAGCAAACCCAGTGAATGCGGATTTCAACTGGGAAGCTGCTGGTGTCAACTCATTTACAAAGATCTCTCGTCCTGCATGGTTATATAATAATAATAATAATAACTTTTTTAGGATGACCCAAAGGCAAATCGCCTATCGAGGGGTTCACCGCATTGAATGGTTGTGGTATGACAAAGCAAGGAGGCAACCATTGTGTGTGTGTGTGGGGGGGGGGGGGGGTTCGAACTATGCACAGTGAAGGGATAATTGTATGTACATGTACATGACCAAGGATAGGGTATACCGGACAAAGTTGCCATTTTTGGGAGCAGCGGATTGGGAAGTATAACAGTATTGTGGTAATGTTACAGTATTTTCAAAATGGCCGAGTTTGTCACTACTTCTGAGTTTTGTCTCTTCATGTTTATAAAAATCACACTTCTGTTTTTGTGGGCGACTTTCTCAGACATTTTTAGGGAAGAAGTGGGGTAAGTTCAAATGAATGGACTATAGGTGTTTATATCTTGATGTCTGTGCATATGCATCAGCCATTTGGTGACTGCTAACCTTGTCTTAATTAAGATGAAAGAACTGTCGGCTCTCTGGAAAGTATTGCACTTCACTTGTTTTACGCTCAGCTTGTTCTTCGCATTTGTTCCTGTGTTGCGTGTTTGCTCATAGTCCCTGGTGCTTGTTGAGTACCTCATCAAGACTGGCCCCTTGTCTATCATGGAAATGTGCTCTGCACAAGCATACTGCATCAATACACTGAAGAACTTCCAGTTCGAAGACAAAGATGGCAAGGACCATGGAGCTAACGGTGAGTGTCACCTGTGTTGCACCATACACTGCAGCCTCTGAGCCGGTTTTAAAGTGCTGCCAACTGAAATCCGACCCCTGGAGCGGTGCGCTCACATTGCAAAGACCCAGCGCGGGATTGTAACACTATGAAATAAGAGATGGCTAGATTCGGTGCTGCACTCTAGCACAAAAACCAGGGGTTGGGTTTCAGTTGCCACCACTATACTTAGGGCGTTCATCTGTGAGCAGGTCGGTTCAAGGTGACGCCGTGAAATGCTTACATCAGGTTTTACCCAAAATTGAATACCGTTTGGAAATCGTCGGAATGGTTCTGAACTGAGAACTGTGGTTGGATGGTTTCCAAGCGTGTGCTATGTGTTCGGTGACTCGCAATGCACATTGCAGTGGCGTATCCAGGTGGGGGATGAAGGGTGTGCGCGCCTAATAAAGCAACTTTCTGAGACGAAGGACTTGGGCAGGAAGACACCGGCATGAATCAACGAATTGTCTATGATTAATTATGTCGGTATGGGTTCCTACATGTTGTTTTACAACCAGGTGCTGTCTGCTGTCTGCTGTCTGCTGTCTGGTGTTGTCTAGAAACTAGTCCCAGTACATGTGTTGTTTGACAGACAAGTAGCTATTATCAAGAGTACATAACCCCAAGAGTATGCAACTCTGAACTCTGCATATGGGATCTGGAGTGGCGCGCTGCCTGCATTACGTAGCCACGGACTATGGGCCATTGTGTCATTATTGATCTGCTACGGCTTCCTGCTTCCTAATCCGCTTTCCTCGGAGACTTCGGGTGGTTTTGTGTGTGGTGTGTCACACACAGACATTGCCTTTGAGCTTACTTCGAAGTACCGTATTGCACGTGAAATTGTTGAGGCTAAACCGTAGGAAACTCAAATCCAGCCGGCTGGATAGTCATTTCATTATGCAATGCAGGCAAGCGTGCCGCGCAGGGCACCCATGAGTCGGAGATCCAGAGTTGCTCACTCTTGGGGCTATGTACTCTTGCGATTACTCTTTCTTGAAGCCATCACTAGGCGTCAGTGCAACAAAGGTTCTTGTGCCTTTAGATTTAAATATCGTTATGTACGTTGGAGTCCTTGGGCCAAGGTGCAATAAAAGTGACTTTTCGCTCCCGTTCAAGAGGGACGACGGCTTGCCATGTGCAAATGATAGAGATAAGTAGGGCTTTCAGGATCTGTATCACTTGACCCAGAAACATGGGGCTTTGTAGACCAAATCGACGAAATACTTCTTGAAGCATGTTACCATAGCAACCAAAGTGATAATTTCCAATTTAGGTATCTTGCAGATTGACTGTTAACATTATTGCTTTGGAATGAAGTAGACAATGAACACGGGCTGGACTGCGATGGTGTTGGTGCAGTGCATCGTTCCCTTCCCATCCAACGCCTCTTCATTCAGGTTGTCAACAACTTGAATGGCATGGAGAGATTGACAATATCCGGAAGGCCATCAGTAGCCTCCTCCTTGCTATGGGGTTTGTTTTCGGCCATCCGTGTCTCTCTCCCCAGCACCTGGCCGTACGCAATACTGTGACCGAATCTGTTGAGAATGGTCACTAACCGCTCGCTTCTGCAGAGATGGTGCACAGCCAAACCAAGAGCAACATGCTTTGGTGGTACGATCCATGTCTACTTTAACACTAGGTCCTGCGAAAATGACCTGACACACTCAGTCGATAGAGCAAGAGACTCTTATTTTTATACAATACAGTGTACTACTGCCGTGGACATGAAAATCCAGTCGATTGACCGGGGCCGGCGCCCTGAGCGCGCGTACAGAACGCTGCGTGCAGTGCACATGTTGATCTGATGATGCGACCACGTACCAGCGCATACATGCATGTGTGTACCGCTTATCCACGGCTGCATGGCCAGTGCCCTGGGGCAGCTAGATGTGCGACTGGATTTCCATGTCCACGACAGTAGTATTGTGTAGATCTGCTTTTATCAGATAACACGCAGTTACACCAGATCAGTACTTGTCGTCATTGCTGCTATGACTGCGGATTTGTTTTCTGCTTCTGTTGCTGGGCTCAGTGCGCGATAAAGCTAAACAGATATCAGCGTTGCTGAAAGATCCAGACCTGATGAGGGAACAGCGCAATTCAGCATTACAGGTGAGCGCATTGCCATGAGCACGTTTGCTGAGTGTGGTGTCTATCTAGCATTAATTTTGCTTGATTGCGTGTTTCTTCTTTGGAGTTGAAATTGAAAAGCAACATATCTCACTGTACATGTACAGGGATGAGAGCCGTACTTTTCTTGTTCATGAGAAATCCGGCCAAAAGCGCCTCCGCGGCTGATTCTCGGAACAATCATTTTCATTCAAGCAAATACAAACTGGATTGTGACCACCCCTACCAAAACGCCCTTTTGATATTGCCACTAGTGCAGTACCAATATGCAGGTCACCATCTGTATTTCTCTATAGTATTAGCATGCGCCTTTTGGTGCATTTGTATATGCCGATAAGGCGCGGCCCAGCCATGTCCCGGCAGAAATCGGACGCCGGGTCAGGGCTTATCAGCACATGTGAATGCTCAATGACCCGGCGCCGGCTAATCTTGGTTTGAGAATCGCCAATCATAGCCTTTTCCAGCATGTTGGAATTTCTCGCGCCTGTCTGCTTCCTTGCTCCTCTTCCCCATACTTGAGTCATTGATCCTGTGTACGCGTCCTGCCACTAATGACATCATCTGGCCTGGTCATGTTAGCGAGGAGGCGCACTGAACTGGAACTCTGCATTGGTCACAGCCGGTAGCTTTTTTGCATATAAATTTCAAGAGGTATGCCAACTTCTTCATGTGTGTGTGTGTGTGTGTGTGTGTGTGTGTGTGTGTGTGTGTGTGTGTGTGTGTGTGTGTGTGTGTGTGTGTGTGTGTGTGACTAAAACTGTAGGTGAAAAGGACATTTTCTGAGAAAGACCACTCACCGCATACAAGAGATTATTGCAGCCCTGAACCGTCCAAGATTGGACGCTCTGCGTAAGTCATAACTGTTATGTAGGAAAACAGTTTCCTCTGAGACAAAAATGCGATAATACTCATAAAAAGGACACACTTCAGGCTCATTACAAACATCTTGAAAGTTTTTGTCTTCACAAGTATACTTTCAAGCCTTCTCATCAGGTGAAATCCACTGTTCCTGTTCCTTTTCCCTTGCCTGTATTTCACCTGATGAGAAGGCTTGAAAGTATACTTGTGAAGACAAAAACTTTCAAGATGTTTGTAATGAGCCTGAAGTGTGTCCTTTTTATGAGTGTTATGTAGGAATTTTCTTTTATTGGGAGAGAAATGTATAGACAATGAAGCATCACATCCACGCATCTTCAGCACACCCTTAATAGTCTCTGCATAACAGAAGAAGAAAAGCACGTGCAATGGACCGACTGTCAGTCAATGGAGACTACTTGCAGCCCTGAAATCGCTGAAATATTGGATATTCTTGACAGAAGCCTTCTCTGAACTCTTTGTTTGAATAAGTGCAAGACAAATTGGGATCGGACAGGATTCCTGCAAAAATGCGACTAAAACAGACAAACTTGAACGGTGAAAGAGCATTGTCAGACCTCTGTGCCTTTCTTGTTCCGCTCTTCATGGTTAGATTAATTTCCAGACAAGTGCTATGGTTGTAAGTGGAGTAGAATACGATCTGGCTTTGCAAAGCAGATCACAGAATACTACTGCATGTGCATGTACTTCTCATACCGCTGTGAGTTACTTTAAAATACAGTACCAGTATTGTGTTACCACCTAGACTTACAGTATTGTGTTACCACCTAGACTTACAGTATTGTGTTACCACCTAGACTTACAGTATTGTGTTACCACCTAGACTTACAGTATTGTGTTACCACCTAGACTTACAGTATTGTGTTACCACCTAGACTTACAGTATTGTGTTACCACCTAGACTTACAGTATTGTGTTACCACCTAGACTTACAGTATTGTGTTACCACCTAGACTTACAGTATTGTGTTACCACCTAGACGTGCTTTTACGCTTGCTTGTTGCAGGAGTATTACGGCACTATCTGGGCAGGAAAAGAACCTTGACACACAACTGTAAGTCAACAACTGTCCAGTGCTTTCTATGCACACGCTTTCTATGCACTCCAGCACCTTACCTGTAGCCAGGGATGCACTGAATAAGGCTCCAAAACGACATTTTTGTATCGAGAGACAGTTCTGCTTTCCTAGTTTGCCATACAGTGGGGAAGAATATTGAAGCGTGCCCATTCCCGCGGCAGCTCCCAATCTGCTGATGGTGTTCTTCACTTTTTTTATATGTATGTCCTGGTTCTACTTCTCCAGCCATGGCTCCTCAGGTGGCAGACCAAGAGCAGCTAACCAGTGGGAGGCAGAGGCACAGCGACAGACTGCAGCACTGCAGATAAACACACACGGCGAGAAGTTGTCTGCAAGGTCAGCACCGTGCCTTTGAGAATTGGCCTGGTAGTTCTTCTTAACAGTTAGTGATTGTACACTGTTGGCAGTTATGGTTCCTTGATCCCCTTATCATCTGGAGGTCTGTTCTGTTTCAAGTGTTGTAATGTTCCTATGGCCATTATCGTTTCTTTCCCTGTTGTTGCTCAGTGAGATTGAAGAGCGTCTTGCGGAGAAAGCGAAAGCGCTCAGCTTGATAACGTCAGGTAAGTGCTGGTTCTGGCAGCTGCTTATAAACAAATGCCTTTATGAAGTCTCATCATACCACCACCGTCACCGTACTTTCAGTGGTTAAGGTAGTTCGGGACACCTTTGCTCCAAAATCGCTTTTTGTCAGATCTCGACCAAACTTTGGTAGTAGATGCTGTAGACTATTGACTATACAGGGCTAACTTCAAAGTGCCAATCTTGAACCCCGAATATTTTGTGTACACTGGACAAAATGGCGATAGTGTCGCGAACTACCTTAAGTCTGGTATCAGCACTGTTTAATTGCCGTTCAACGACTTCCTTTGCCCAGGCATGTCAGTGTCAGAACCTGCTATACGGACACAAGCTGCGTCAGCCGATCCCTGGGGAGTGCCAACGAATGCTGCTGCCGCTACTACTGCTAAGTCAACTGCTACCCGGCCGACTTCATCCTCCCAGACCGACGCATGGGGATCTGCAAAACCTGCAAAACCAGCAGCGCCCGCTCACAACGACCCATGGTCAGTGCGCTACGAGTATGCATGGACATTGCTTCACACTGCGTTCACTTAGAAGGGTGGGTGATGTCAGGGACGAACTCTTCTCTCTCTCTCTCTCTCTCTCTCTCTCTCTCTCTCTCTCTCTCTCTCCTCTCTCTTTCTTTCTTCCCTGGACCACCCTGGTGCAGAGCGTGCACATAGTCTGGATACTAGTAGTGGCCAGTGGGGAAGGCTGGCGGTGACTAGACTGTTTCTTTGTCTTGCAATACAATAATAGACAGTGTGTGCAATTGAACGGTGCAAATGCGACTAGAAAAGAGTCATCAGGTCTTGTTGGAGGTGTCACAGTGAGTGGGTGTGTGAGTCAATAACATCTGATATTTTGCCTTAGTCCAGCTTCAGCCGAAATGCCAAGGGGGGGGGGGGGGGGTTGAAGCCATCATTTGTGCCAGTGTTGGTTCCATGTTGTGCTCCGGTCTCATTTTCCTGGATCGTATGTGAGAGGTGGAAAATGAAAATGAAAGATAAGCGTTGAAGTGTGAAGAAATGTAGCAGGCGTATGATGTATCGCAACAACAATAGACAGCCAATAGACATCATTTAGGAGTTGCTGACGACCTACAACCTGCGTTTCTTCACACGTGCACCTTTTCTTTGTCCTTTTTTCAACTATACATCCCAAGCGTACGTTTTTTCCTCATATTTTGCAGTATTACGTACTACCAGGTAGTACCATAGAGCATAGAATGCCATAGAGCATAGAGTACCATAGAGCATAGAATTGTTAGGTCCTGGAAATCACCGTATGCACTTGTTTTCTGTCGAACTCGGGCTGTGGTTAAAATCGCAAAACCTACAGACGGCTCTCAAGTAATGCATTGTGTCTTCTTTGTTTACAGGGCTAGTCCTCAAGCAGCAATGGATGCATTCGGCTGTCCTACCTTCTCTGCTGCGGCACCCGTTACCCCTGGTAGTAAGGCAGTGCCAGGCCAGCAGGAAGACGAGGATGCTTTTGGCTCTCCTGCGTTTGGTTCTCCTGCAATGACGCGCCACACCAGGAGTCAACATGATTTGCCGGCGCAGGGATTCAGTTTTCAAGAGAACCAACTTTCTCCCGCCGGCAGCCAGAGCTCTGTGGCGCATCCGCCTTTAAGTCACACTGCTTCGGCACCATCGGCTCGCCAGTTTGCTCCTCAGCAGCCTGTTGTTCAGGGCATGCCTAGTCCTCTTGCCACCGGACCGCAGGCTTTCGCTGGCATGTCAGGCCAATTTCCCGCCGACCAACAAGCAGCACAGCAGCAGATGCAGCAGCAGCAACCAGTCGAATATTCTCCGTCACCCTCCCCCGTGGTAAGCTTGGAAGAGCTTTCATCAAGTATGCTTTGATCTGAGTACTACAAAACAATGCATAGTGCTGCTCAATGAAATCCAGTCGTGTCACACACTCAAGTACGCGCCGGGCGTTGCGCAGCCCTAGGCCTGCGAATACTGGGCTTCGAAATAGTGCAAGGCGCAAACTTTGAGTGGCGCAACTGGATTTCAGTGAGCAGTACCGAACATGAACATGTTGCAAGTTTTGTGCTATACTTCTGCTGTGTGTTATTTATAGTATTTTGACTGAATTTATGAGTATTATAACACCAAGGTGTGCAGCTGTGTGTCACTTTCTGCATGGAGGTTTGTCGTAACGAAATCCAAACTTCTTTCGTCAGTAGCACACTGTTGTAGAGCGCACAGGTGATTGGCGTGCGCCACGGGTACGGGTTGTGCACAGCGCAATCATGGATCTACCTGCACCAAGACTGTACAGGCCGTGGGTTGTTAGAACCTGACAGTCATTGTGATGACGTAATGTTTGGATGTTCCAGCACATTGGTGGTGGTGATGGTGGCGGTGGGTAAAGATTACACCAGTTTTGACAGACCTAACTACAATGTTCCAAGATGGCATTGCAGCTGTAGTGTAATTGATCATTGAACATTCACTCCACGACGGTGTTTGTATCAGCTGCAACCAGTTTCTTTCTCGATGTGATCAACACCTAGCTACTGCACCAGGGGCGTCGCGCACGGTACGGTCACTACGGTATTGACCGTACCACTTTTTGTCCCAAGTACCCTGTAAATCAATAAAATGCACTGGTCTGGGATCTAAATTTCCAAATTTTCGCCTCAGCCACCACTCCCCCACGAGTAAATTGTACTTCAGATGGCTGACCGTACCACACTAAAATACCTTCCGACGCCCCTGTGCACGATGTGTACCCTTGCTACTGTAACTTAACGACTTTCTGTCTCCATTCCGTTGTCTAGGATACCAAGCCAGCCTTCCTAGATGATCACGACTGCGCATTGGTCAACTTAGACAATCTCCTGACTGCTAAGGAGAGGCCTGTTACACCAAAGCAGCCAAACTCCCTTAACCATATACGCACCAGTCAGTCATCCCCTACGCCAGGCAATTTAGGCAACGCTGCTTCGGGTAAGTTTTTCCATTGCAACTCCCCACCCATCATGGCATGTTCTTTGCTGAAATATTTCTACCGTAAAAGTCCGTAAATAAGTACGTATTTACTTTCGAATTTAGTGGTCACACCCGTGCTAACTTTCGGACGGGTACTGACTTTCGGGCATGAACTAATTTTCGGACCGGACTTGTTTGTAGTGGAGAAGTCTTTTTTATGTCGATGTACATGCGAAGTGCTGCATGTGCGACCCTTACCGGTACTTATTTCGGGCAGTATGTTTATTGGGCTTGACTTGACTTCAACAGACAGAGTCAAAAGAATGAAGGGGGTATTTATATTAGGCGGGTACATATACTTATTTACGGACTTTTACGGTAGTACAGTAGAACTCTCCGTATCCGGGCACGTTGGGATCAGGCACTTCCCGTACTCAGTAATCAGTAACTGCCCACAATTCAGAACCTACATATACCTACAGATTGCACGCAAGTAGCCATGTTTTTATGCCAAACCTTATTTGGTGCCGTTTTTTGTTCAAAAACCAATATTTGTGACTCTGGCGGAAACAGAAAGGTGCCTGCTTGACGGCAGTGCCTGGATCTGGGGCACCTGGATTCGAGGATTGTCACCATGGTTACTGTGTTGCTATTACTACTAGTACCTCTGACAAGCGAAACTTGGCGCGTTTTGTGCTTTTTGATTTGTTGTGGTTGTACCACAAGGCTGCAATTCTAGTGCGAGGCACGGCCTCGAATCGATGTATACGGGTGCAAGAAGCCAAGCGTTGAGCTGGCGAGTGGCACGTGCATGGCGATTCTCACATTCAAGAGGTACACAGTGTGCTGAGGCAGGCGAGTCTCTCCTGTACCAGTACGACGGTGCGCGCCCTCAAACTTCGAAGGAGAATCATCCTGCTTTCGCGCTTAGAAGCAAAACCAAGTTGTTCTCGCTCCCTCTGCGTGGTCACTCGCACAGAGTACAGATGTCTTTGTCAACGAACTGGCGATTTTCAATAGGCTCCAGAGCGATGTGTGTCCGGTGAGTAAGGAAAATCTCCTGGAATTGCCAGCGGTAATGTTGGACTCGCTTGGTTGGCGAGAAGACGCAGCCGAAACGGTGGAGTCCATGTGGAGGTGTTTGCACGTTTCATACCATGGCATTCTGGAGAGTGGCGGCCAAAATTACTACCCTCAACATCGTAGCTCGCGCACTGCACGCAGGAGCGACATCGAGAGCTGTAGAGCGATCACAGCTGAGGTGCTTGCTGCAGCTGAATCTGCTTTAGTCGTATTCGTCCAAAGACAGTGACAATTCTTCTCCCCAAGAAGCTGCGATCTCAGATCCAGAGGAGCGTGATTCAGACTAACTGATGTATTTACGAGTAATGTTCTTGTTGAACAATCAAGTTGTATTTTGGTGAGTCAATCATTACTTTCGATCGTAAAGTGTGAGATAGTTCGAGTGATTGAAGTAAAAAAAAACGCGCCAAGTTTCACTTGTCGGAGGTAGTAGAACGTTTGAGTTGAAGTGTATAAGCAGGGTGCTGAGTCCACAGCTTCGCTTATGCTGAATGGCTTGGATGAGGGGAGAAATTACTGAAACGATTGTTGAAAAAGCCAGCAAGCAAGCATTCCACACGGGCAGTTGGGACAGGTTGTGTTGGTCACATGTCCACAAGTTGGATAAGGTTCTTTATTCAAGGCTGTCCACACAGTGACACTGTACTGACTTCTTGACTGTCCATGCATGTAGTTATTTATGCATATTGCTGTCACGGCTGTTGTGTCTCTAACCAAGAGACTGGGTTCACACGTAGAGTTTACATACAAGTTTATTCTACGGTTGCAAAGCAATAAGAAGCGTTCAGGTATGATTGTGCTAGAGGATATAGAAGTTGTATCCCGCGTGCGGGATGCGTTGGTTGTTGGGTGGCAGTACAATGAATTGCTATAGAGAGTTCATGCCTAAGCGGTTGTGGTTTTAGGGTGGATCAATAGTACTTGCAATTAGATGAATACATGTCTGGTACATACACTACATTCCTCCCCTAAATGTTATGGTACATGTTGAGCTACGAGGTATTCCTATACGGCATAACATTTAATGCACAAGAAGAAGAAGCGGATGAGCTGAGAGCACGGGCCAGCAATTGTGTGAGCAAGAAGCAATTCAGTCTCTCAGGCGAGCCGGCAGGACTCGGGCTCTCGGCGGGGTTCAGTCGTATATTGTGCCAGCGGCGACTGGACCTGCTGCGTTGCCGGAGTTGCTGCTACTGGTGTTTGCGCAGGCGGAGGTGTTGGAGTAGCAGCGGCTTGGACACTGGGTGGTGTCGGAACACTAGCTGGCGAATGAGCAGTCGGAAAGCACAAACTGTGATCCGGTTCTGCCACGGACGGCAAAGGCGCTGTGTTCATCGGTACGGATGATTGCGGAGCGGAGTCGGCTGACCGGAGCTGTTCAACATGGCGCCTCCATTGCTGGTCTGGGCCAACTTCCACTGTATAGTGGCGGGAGCCGTGTACCGCTTGCACTGTGCCCTGAATCCACGGGTGTGGTGCGTTGGTGCGGTAGTCACGTACCATGACGGTGTCATCCACAGCAAACGTGCGCTCACGGTTCGCTGATCTTGCACTACGCTGAGCTGTCTGTTTCTTAGCAACAGATGCCTGGACACTGGGTTGAACCAGCGACAGCCGAGTGCGTAGCTCCCGGTGCATTAGCAGGGATGCTGGTGTGGCATTCGTTGTAGCATGGGGTGTGGTGCGATAGGCCAACAGGAAGCGAGGCAAGAACTCAAGTGGTGCTGTGGCAGAATGGGACCTGAGCGCCTGCTTCATTGTACGCACAAATCGTTCAGCCAACCCGTTAGTCGCTGGGTGGTACGGTGCTGAGAACGTGTGCGTTATGCCGTTGGCTTCTGTGAAACGGCGGAACTCATCGGCAGTAAACTGCGGGCCGTTGTCACTCACGATCTGGTCCGGCAGGCCATGTTGAGCAAACACTTCTCGGAGACGGCGTATGGTAGCCGGGGCAGTGGTGCTGCTCATTGGGAGCACTTCTGGCCACTTACTGTGGGCGTCCACCACAATCAGCCACATGTGCCCTTGGAACGGCCCGGCAAAATCAATGTGGAGACGCTGCCATGGCTTGGACGGCCACTCCCAGGGATGTAGCGGTGACTTTGGTGGCGCCGCCTGGTGTGCCTGACAGCCAAGGCAGGCCTTGCCGGTCTGCTCGATGGCTGTGTCGATGCCTGGCCACCATACAAAGCTGCGGGCTAGTGCTTTCATCCGAACCAGCCCAGGATGGCCACTGTGCAGCTCCTCCAGTACTCGGTGGCGCAGTGGGGGAGGAATGACGACACGGATTCCCCACATGACACACCCTTGGTGTAGGCCCAGCTCATCTTTGCGTCGTACAAACGGTTGCATGTCACCGTCGGTTGTTGACAGGGCCCGTCCGGTGCTGACACTGGTTAGGACCTTGGCGAGAACTGGGTCACGGTTTGTGTGACGCGCTATTTCAGCTGCCGTGACTGGAAGCGGGTCGATCTGGGCCATGTTGAACACGTCTGCCCAGTCTAGGCTCTCATCCTGTGGTGAGTGTGGCAACAGTAGTCATGACAGGCCGTCAGCGTTTGCATGCTCGGCTGATTTGCGGTACTTGATCTCATAACTCATGCTTGCTAGGAAGATAGCATACCGCTGTAGGCGGGCCGTCGTCATGGCTGGCAATCCCTTGCTAGGACTGAAGATGGCTGTCAGCGGCTCATGGTCCGTCAGCAGGACGAACGGTCGGCCAAACAGGTACGTGTGGAATTTGCGGACGCCCCAGACAATAGAGAGCGCCTCCTTATCGATCTGGGCGTACCGCTTCTCGGTGTCCGTCAGGGACCGTGACACGAAGGCAATCGGCCTTTCCGTACCATCCGGCATGATGTGCGAGAGCACCGCCCCCAGGCCATATGGCGATGCGTCGGTTGTTGAGTGGATGCAGGGTCGTGGAGCAGTCTTTGAGGAAGCGCTGGTAGTAGCACACCATGCCCAGAAAGCTCCGTAGCTGGGACACGTTCTGCGGTGCTGGGGCTTCGTTGATAGCCTTGACCTTGCCATCAGTCTTGCGCAAGCCGTGGCGACTGACAATGTGTCCACAGTACTCAACTTGGTCTGCAAAGAACGTGCACTTGGCCGGGTTGACTCTCAGGCCGTGGTCCGACAGACGACTCAGGATGCTTTCCACATTGTCCAGGTGGTCATCGTCGTTGCGGCCGGTGACAATAATGTCGTCCAGTAGGCAGGCCTGGCTTGGGACGCCGTGCAAGATGCGGTCGATAGCCTGTTGCCAGAGCGCTGGGGCAGAGGCAACACCGAACCCGAGTCGGTTGAGCTGATACAGGCCCTTGTGCGTCGTGAGTGTGAGGAGTGGTTTGGATGCGTCATCCATCTCCATTTAGAGGTATGCCTGCTTTAGGTCGATTTTGGTGAATCGCTGGCCTCCAGCCAGGGTGGCGAAGACATCTTCCACGCGTGGTAGCGGGTGCTGGTCCACCTTCAGGTGTGGATTCAATGTGGCTTTGAAATCTCCACAGAGACGAACTGAGCCGTTGGGCTTCGTCACAGGCACAATAGGTGTCGCCCACTCACTCCACTGTACCTTACTCACGATACCCAGACCTTCCAGCCTGTCCAGTTCAGCTTCCACCTTTGGCCGCATGGCGTAGGGCAATGGGCGCGCCTTGAGGAAGCGAGGGCTTGCATCGTCCTTCAGCTGGAGACGAGCCTTGGCGTCCTTGAGCTTGCCAAAGTCGTCGCTGAACACATCGGAGAATTTCTCCTTGAGCTGCTCAAGACGCGTACCTGCTGATCCTGGATGCTGCTGGCCAGGGGACACGGTTGCGGAGGGGACGTCAGCCATCTCGACCTGGAACAAGCGCTGCCAGTCGAGAGCGATGTGGGCAAGCAGGTCCCGGCCACAGAGCGCTGGCCCCTGCGTGTCCACCACATGCAGTGGTAGCTCCGCGGATTGATGGTAGTATTCCACGCGTGCTACGAACGTTCCGCGAGGATGCACGGGCTCGCCGGTGTACGTACGCAACTTCAGCTTGCTCGCGGTGAGAGGCGAGGCAGACAGCGACTTTCGATAAATCGCACTCGGAATGATTGACACCGCAGCTCCAGTGTCGACCTGCATGCGGACCGACTGGCCATTGACGATAGCATCAATCCAAAGTGCCTTCCGCACGGTCGTGGGTGTCGTTTCATCCGTGGCGACTGCTGGCGCTTGAAGGACGTCTGCGGCTAGAAGAGAAAGTGAATTGAACTCGTCGTCGTCCGCGACATCGACAGCCAAGCTGTGGCAGGCGCTGCTACCACTTGAGCGTTTCGCTGAGTCTGTCGATCTTTCCGCAAGGCGCTTCTTGCAAACCTTGCGGAGGTGCCCAGTCTTCCTGCAGTGGCGGCATTCATATGCCTTGAAGGGACATTCACTTGCGCCGTGTGCCGTCGAGCCACAGCGGAAGCATGCTGAATATCTCGTACGGGATTGACCAGAGTTCGCGGACTTCGCACCTCCGAACGATGATCTGCCAGCACGACGATGTTGGCTTTGTTGCGATGTGCCCAGAACGTGTACACCAGCAGCAGTGGCACTGCCCGCGAGCTCGGATGCATTGCGAGTGGCTACCTCCAGGCTGTTGGCTTTCTCGATGGCGGTCTTCAGAGTGAGGTCCTTCTCTGCCAACAGAACTTTGCAAAGAGCTTGACTCCTGATACCACACACGAAACGATCCCGCAGCGTGGTATCCAGGACATCGCCAAACTCACAGAATCGTGCCAACCGTCGGAGCTCCGCGAGGTAGGCATTTACTGACTCTCCTTGGCGTTGATCCCGCTTGTGGAAACGGTATCGTTCCGCGATCACCTAGGGCTTCGGAGCACAATGCGCAGCCAGCGCGTCGGACAGCTCCTTCAGCGTCTTGTCCTTCGGTTTGTCCGGGCTGACCAGGTCAGCCAACAGTTTGTAGGTCAAGCCACCAATCAGGGTCAGGAAGGTGGCTACTTGCCTGTCTTCGGCCACATTGTTGGCAGCGAAGTACTGCTCGACGCGGTCATAGTACGTAGACCAATCCGCCGTTCCAACCGAAAATGGTTCCAATTGCAACGGCCATCTTCGTCGCCAGTTGTGTCTCTAACCAAGAGACTGGGTTCACACGTAGAGTTTACATACAAGTTTATTCTACGGTTGCAAAGCAATAAGAAGCGTTCAGGTATGATTGTGCTAGAGGATATAGAAGTTGTATCCCGCGTGCGGGATGCGTTGGTTGTTGGGTGGCAGTACAATGAATTGCTATAGAGAGTTCATGCCTAAGCGGTTGTGGTTTTAGGGTGGATCAATAGTACTTGCAATTAGATGAATACATGTCTGGTACATACACTACAACGGCCACCATTTAATTCCCTTGTTTTCGTTTCTCCTGTCACATCCTACATGTGTGTGTGCTATTAGCTGACGGGACTATCCTGCCCAGTCCGTTGATTCCAGCACCCGATTCCAACCAGCCACGCGTACAGCCCGGCAGAACGTGGAGCTCTACCAACATGGCCCCCACCAACAGCATGGGCATGGGTGGTATGGCCCCTGCCAACATGGCAATGGGTGGTATGGCCCCTGCCAACATGGCAATGGGTGGTATGGCCCCTGTCAACATGGCAATGGGTGGTATGGCCCCCGGCAACATGGCAATGGGTGGTATGGCACCTGTCGGTATGGCTCAGGTTGCCATGGTACCCACAGGCATTCCTCCTGTTGCTGTGGCATCGGCTGGCATGGGAGTGGTGCCTGTGTCCAGCGTTGGCTCTATGGGAGGTGGTGGGATGCAGTACGCTGGCATGATGCCACCCACTGGCATGCCTCCCCTTTCTGCAGCGACGTCCATGCCCATGCAGCAACAACACCACCAGCAGCAGCAAGCGCCCATGTATGCGGGTCATCAGCAGCAGCAGCAGCAGTTTATGCAGCAATCTGCAGGTAACAATCCTTTCTTCCGATGAGCAAGGTATGCAGCAGTGCCGTTGATCACGGGCACTGCAGTTTGAAACCACTATTTATTTTGTTCCACAACCCATAGCAACAGGCACCGGATATTGACATACGTATTTTTTTCTTCCTTTCATGACGGACACCACTTTCTGCTCAATTACCAATCGGAGATGAGCGGGGGATGTGCTTGCCAATTTGACCAGTCCTCTTTGCTATCAACGCTAGTGTTAGGCCTTGAGCTCGCGCCGCAGTGCATTTAGAAACTGCATGGCAGCTATTTGCTATGTTTAGACTCTAGGACCCTGCTGTGCCCCCGCCGCCCCCCAGCCTGTAGGCAATCACGGCGGCAGTATCCGTTTACCCTGCCTTCCGCTATTTTCCGGCCATTGGCTCCTTGCCACGTTTCTCACATTCTTTGCTGCGTTATTTTTCATAGGCATTGTATAAGCACCATTGCATGTCTTCATAGGCACTGTAAACACGACCGCGTGTATTTTTTTGTCATTGAAGACTGGCGGACTCCCGACACTTTTCAACTATTTTTGAACCGCATGCCCAGATGTGGCCTCCACTGCCACTTCACCACTGATACTCAGCGTTGCTTTGATTCGATGAGCACTTGAGCACGGACTTGTTTCCCTGTGTGTGCTGGGTGGGTGGGTGCGTGCGCCTGTGTGTATGGATGCGGGTATGGATGTGCTCATACCGTATGTCAGTGCCTTTAAAGCCATGGCCTTGTATTCGAAATACCGCTGCTTTCCTAGGTATTTTAGATGCAAAATGACTCACCCACTACGCCATGCCATAAAAGTCAAAGTCCACACAGAAGTTTCATTGTTTCAATCTAAATCCACTTGTCCACCCTTCCTGCTCGGCTGTAAGTGTGTTAGCATAGTACTTATTCCTTCGTTTTTACAAAACATACTTCGAATGCCATTTCATTTATGAAGCCCATGGCTTTATAACTGAGACTGGCTTTATGATCGAATATTATACCGCCGTGGCTTTAAAGGTGCGGCGGACATACGGTCTGATTGTAAGGGGGGGGGGGGGGGGGCTGATGGCAAATCCTCGCCCAATGGAGAGGCCTCACAGTTTCTGGTGCTAAGTTTGTTTCCCAATAGGGCTACATGTATCACTATGCACTCCTGTTCGTGCATAGAATAAGAAAGGACAAATGGGTGGTACGGCTGCGATGTTCACACAACTTTTCACAAGTCACTGTCATGGGTCTACCGGTGTGTGTGTGCTCATGCTGCTTCCGCTCTACTACTGACGGTGACATCTCTCTGGCATGGTGTAGATCTACCACTACCAGCCTCTACCTAGCCTGGCCATAAAGAGTCCTTGTCTTGGTATGGTGTGCGTCTCTCTGGTTGGCAGGGCAACGTGGACGAACTCGAGATTTGAAAAGTCGAAACGCGTCGAGTAGCGCAACGATGCGGCGGTTCACCGTTCAGTCACCCAGCTTCTTATCTGCAAGCTTACAAAAAAAAGTTCTAGTGCCGGTAGTGCGTACTACACCACTGCCGTGTGAAGCGAGCAAGAAGAAAATGTCTTTTAGTTTTAGGTTTTATACTGGCCTGCTCTGTCTCTAGACTCTGCGGCATCCTGACGCCCTCTGTGAAACTCTCGCCAGCAGCAGCCGCTCAACTCCATCACTTGCAGAAGCTGCTGTCGGTCCGTTAGCGTGCACCTACTCTCAGTCTCTCCCGCTGGACGGAGCACATCATCACGTCGAAACGGTGGCAACCCTGTCCCATACTAATTTTCTAGGGAGTAGATCTACGACAGCGCATCTCAAACAATGTCCAGACTCGCCGGACTTTCATCTGGCGAAGTGGCCGCTGCGCGAAACAGACGTTCTGTAAAGTTTGAGGCCGCAGCGGAGTTGGACTCTGGTAATCACAACCTTGGTCAAGGCGACAGTCCCGCTACCGACCCTACAGCGCTCAGGCAACGTGACTCGGTAGCAACATCAGGCCAACAGGCTGCTGCTCGTCCAACTCCTGCAGCACCAGCAGTAGGAAGAGGAGGTGGCGGTGGAGAAGGAGCAGGAGGACGGCAGCCACTGGTAGGTGTTCACTGCCTTCCTTATAACACATCAAACTTTCGATAGGGCAGTCCCCACAGTTCAGGCCCGGGCGTAAGCCCATACATGATTACCATGCAGCTTAGGCAGGTTTACCCTGGAAAATCAAGTGCATGTACAGCAGAACAGAGTACTGAGCAACAAACTTACTGGAAGAAATAGATTCCGAGGGGCGTCGGAAGGTATCAAAATTAATATTATTAGGCCACCTAGAATTAATTCGTTGTTTCGGGTCACTTCACTCATCCGTACCAGGGTCGGTCGGTCGGGTTTATTTATATTGGTTATTGCCATACATACGTGTATATCATATCCCATGCGCCTTGTGCATACATACATGTACATGTACATCATGTAATATCGAATAGCTGGGCATCAAGCCAGTCGACCAAATCTAGACGATCCAGCGCAGTTAGTGTCCCTTCAGATCTAGGACCCCAGCTAGCTCTAGGACCAGATCTTGACCTCGCTAGCAAACGAGTCTGACAACTCGTGACGAGCAGCTCTCACCAAAACGTCGCTGAACATTTTCAAATTTTTGAGCAAAAATCGGTGGAGTAAACATTTTTACTGCCTCACGGGTACTACAGTATAGTACCCGTGAGGCAAAGAGTGGTACAACATACCATAGTGACTGTAGAGAGTGCAGTGTATCCAACGCCCCAGTGCAACAGATGCCCAGTCTCAGATCAGAAAGCCCCATCTCGGCCAAACGAGCCGAGTTACTCTGCACAGAGACTTGAAGGATAACTGCTGATCTTGCTTGCATGCATTGGTCTAATACTGATGACTGTGGTGTCATGTATTTAGAGTCTAGTGCACGGTATTGCTTTGTGGTACAAGTATTACATTGTTCATGATATTCGTTACAACAGTGTATGCTCTGCGTAGATAAGTAGATTGGGTTGCAAGGATAGCATGTTAGAAGTAATTGATTGGAACATCTGGGCCGCTCAATTACGTTAAGAGCACACTCTCATCATTGTTAACAACATTGTTGATCATACGGGTCAGATCCTAGTGTTTACCTAGTCATGTAATTTCTCGTGCTGCTGTGTTCAGCTGGTTGGACTACTCTAATAGTAATACCTTAATTACTAGCCTTCGATAGCACGTGCGAGTGCGGGCTTTTGCTGCGCAACTGGTATACCCCACAGTGTATTTAGAATAGTCTTCAATAATAATCTAGTTCAGTGAGTTTCACTACTTCCTAGAACTAATACAAGAAACACCAGGTCCTGAGATTGTGCGGTGTGCGTCCTGAGATTGTGCGGTGTGTAGAAGAGTCTGATGGTCTTTCCCCTTCAGCTCTTGGTGCCGAAACCCGGGATAGGCAGAACGTACTGCTGTGGGTTTTCCTAGAGAGAGGTCCGGTGAGGAGTATGGCGGCGAAGATTGAAGGGTTCTTGCGCCCCTACAGAGGGAAGGGCGACAGCTGGGAGGTGTTTTGGGCCAAGTTCGCGTTCTTGGCCACAAACCAGAAGTGGGACACAGACGACAAGAAGATGGCGCAGCTTCCGCTCTACTTGGACGGCGATGCGTTTATGGTTTACAACGCCATGGATGACGCGGACCAAAAGAAACCGGACGAAGTAGAGAAAAGAATGAAAGAAGCGTTTTGCCTCACGAAGTCGCAGGCATACAAGCTGTTTGTTGCACGCCGCTTGCAGCTGGATGAATCCCCAGATGGGTACATTGCCGACCTTAGGAGGCTAGCAGCGGTGGCAGGCCTTGGAAGAGGCGCGGATGCAGACAGCGTGCTCGTAGAGCAAATCCTGAACGGCTTACCTTCATCCATGGCGCAGCAAGTGCGCCTTGCTCTGGTTGGAAAAGGCGACGACGTATCGTTGTGCCTGCAGTTGGTTCGAGCATTGCAGCAAACTGGAACTGAGGATGATGTTGTTTCAGCTGCAAGTGGCGCGAGTGGCCCCGGGCCGGCAGGCTCTGGTACGCGGAATGTGCTTTGCTTCCGTTGCAATAAGCTTGGTCACGTGCGGCGAAACTGCCCGGAGGCGAAGTCTGGCTACGATCGCGGTGCTTGGAGGAGCTCAGCGGCGGGGGGTTCAAGTGGCGTGCGGCCTGGCCTCACTTGTTTCTTCTGCGACAAGCCTGGCCACTTGAAAGCAGACTGCGAAGAACGGAGGGCCTGGGAGGCCCAGAGGTCAAGCAAAGTCACCGGTCAGCCATCACCATCGGCAGCCTGCACGTCTTCCCCGCAGGAATGTTCCGTGGAACGAGGTGAGCCGGCGGAGGAGCGCTGCCTGTACATGGGGCATGGGAGCGAGAAGTCAGGCCAGCTGGTAAAAATCTTCGTTGGTGTAAGTGCAGCGTCTGGTGACAACGCCGGCAAGGAATCGTCCATTGTGAGCGCACGTGCACGCGGACAAGCGGTTGTAGACACGGGCTCGACGAGGACGTTGATCAGCCGTGCATTCGCGGACCGCAGCAGCCTCACGTACGACGGCCCAGACACTCTCGAGACCAACCTTGTGGCTCTGGACGGCAATCGAATCGAAGTTCTGGGGCATCTAGAGGTCCTTCTAGAGCGAAACGATGGGCCTGTCAACCTTCCCAGAGTCAAGGTACGAGCGCTTGTAGTTGAAAGCCTAAGCACTGTCCGTGCTGACGTGCTGATTGGAGCGGATGTCGCTTCGCGGTGCGGTGGGTTGCAACTGAAGTATAGTAGTGATGGACAGCTTTGCGGAGTTGTATTTGGAGCCGCAGCCAGCGACACTGTTGCAGCCACTGCTGATCGGCTGTCCCCGAAGGGGCAGGATGATGATGGTCGATCTGGCCATCCGTCGCGTCGGGTGAAAGTCAGCACCACTGACGAGGGCAAGGTTATGCTCAGTATTGCGGACGGTGTCGTGACCTGGAGCCCTGCTGAGAAGCAATGGGAGTTGACCTGGAAGTGGCTCGATGGTGAACCTCCTGCAATGCCGCTCGGCCCGGGTATCGGAGAGTACAGCAGGACGAACCTGACTCCGGAGCAAGAGCGCCTGTTTGTTAGTGAGGTGCAATCCTGGATAGACAACGGCTGGTTGATCAAGCACGACCCGAAGCTACATGGCGAGCCAGCATGTGTGCTGCCGCTCATCGGTGTTCCGCAAGAACACAAGACGACGCCGGTGAGGCCGTGCCTGGATTACCGTCACTTGAATAAAAAGCTCCACTCTGACCCTGGTTTTGACCCACCAGTCTGCGGTGACACGCTACGTCGATGGCGTCAGGCAGGAGAGGATTATGCTCTGCTCGACATTAGGAAGGCATACCTCCAGATCCGGGTTAGCCCGGCGCTGTACCGCTACCAAGTCGTGCTTTGGAAGGGAGAAGCTCACGTCATGACGAGAATGGGATTCGGGTTGGCGGTAGCGCCCAAGTTTATGGATGCCGTTGTGAAGTACGTCACCCAGCCGTATCCTGGAGTAGATAACTACTATGACGACCTGCTGGTCCCTAGTGCCCTGGTGCCGAAGGTGTCTGGTGCACTGAATGAGTTCGGCCTACCAACCAAGCCCGCAGAGCAACTGGCAGAGGCTCGGGTCCTTGGCCTCCAGCTGACCAAGTCGTCCAGTGGTGACACGTCCTGGTCGCGAAAGGAGCCAGCTGCCATGACCTTGGAGCGTCCGGCAACTAGGAGGAGAATCTTCCAATGGTGTGGACGACTGACAAGCCACTACCCGGTATGCTCATGGCTGCGACCTGCCTGCAGTTTCTTGAAGAGAGCAGCTTCGGCGGACGATGCGTCCTGGGATGATCCAGTCCCACCGGCTATCCAGGTCTGCTGCGAGGAGCTTGAGAAGCGGCTAGCCGAAGTCGACCCAGCAAAGGGAACGTGGAGCATCTCTGCTGGCGACAGCATCACATGGACGGTGTGGTGTGATGCGTCCGGCCTGGCCCTTGGTGCTGCCCTGGAGGTTGACGGCAAGGTGGTGGAGGATACCACGCAGCTACGACCACACCAGGACAAGAGGCACATCAATATTGCCGAATTGGAGGCGGCCATCCTGGGTCTCAATCTGGCTGCGAAGTGGAATGTGAAGCGGATTACGCTGAAGATTGATTCCAAGACCGTCTTCGGGTGGCTGAAGCAAGTGATCAACGATGTCCGACGAGTGAAGACCACTGGCTTGCATGACCTGTTGGTGCAGAGGCGCCTACACATTGTCAGCGATATGATTGACACGATTGGAGCCGCAGTGGATGTTGTATGGGTGTCGTCTGACTCCAACATTGCAGATGCCCTGACCCGAGTTCCAAGCGTCTGGCTTACTCGATCCGTGGGTAGCATTCCCGACGTCACCGCCGGCGCTGTGTGCGAAACGACAGTTGTTGGCCCAATTTCGTTTGACGCCGTGGCGGCAGCCCAGCTGGAAGACGAAGTGGTGCAGCGTGTCGCCAGCCAGGTGGCTACCCGATCGGCGGTTCGCGATGCTGGTTACAGGAGCGTGGCAAGTCAGCTCGTCGTCGAGGATGGCGTCCTGCTCCGAAGCGTTAAGCTGCCTGTTGAGGGTGAAATCCTCGTTCCTGTCATCGCTAAATCCGCGGAAGAGTCTGTTATTAGCGCTGCCCACACCAACTCCGGCCATGCCTCATGGCAGAATATGTACGAGATGTTGCGTGAACGCTGCTACCTACCACGCATGGCCGAGAAATGCCAGCAACATGTCCGCAGCTGCCAGCGTTGCAAGGCTGCGAACGCCGCAGGAGGACAAGCGGCGCCAGCGACACGACCAGATATGCCCGGGAGACCGTGGGGCTGTGTTCAGATCGACACCTTGGAGCTTGGGGCGAGCAAGAGCGGGGAAATCCACTGCGTCTTGGTCTGCGTTGATGCCCTGACGAAGTACGCCGAAGTTGTCCCGTTGCGTCGGCACGATGGTGCGAGCGTGGCCGATGCCATTGTCGAGTTGTGCTGTAGATGGGGAACACCAGATGTGATCCGGATGGACAATGGCCGGGAGTTCCGCAACTACATTGTCAAGGCCCTTCTGCGTGTGTTTGGTGTTGAGGTCAAGACCGGAGCTGTCAGGCACCCACAGACGCAAGGCATGGCTGAGCGTTTTAATCGCACGCTGCTCGGCCTCATAAGGAAGGTCCTGGAAGAATCAACGGATTGGCTAGCCGAGCTCCCGGTGCTGATGCATTACTACAACAGCCGCATCCACAGCGCCATCGGCATTTCACCAATGAAAGCAATGATCGGGTGGCAGCCTCGAGCATTGGTGAGCGCCCGCATCAACCTATCCGATCCCAGAGAGTGGCAGGACGAGCATGCAGCGAGGTGTGCGAGAGTTCGCGACCTGCTTGATGCGGAGATGTCCGAGAAAGACCACTGTGAATCCGAGCATGAGTGCCCGTTCGCGCCTGATGATAGCGTCCTCCTCCAGCAGCCAAAGAGGCGCCAGAAGTGTACTCCTCCATACCAATGTGGCTGGCGTATCAAGAAGGTCTTGTCAGGATCGACAGTAGTCATCTGGCGGAGGTTCAAGGGTGTTTTGCAGGAGAAGGTCATCAACATCGACCTGCTGAAGCGTGACGTGCCAGCTGCACCTTCCTCGGACCCAGCAGATGAGCGTCGCCATGATAGAGAGGAGGAATCGGCTGGAGAAGAGAGTGATGACAGCGGGCCATACGTAGTGTTCTCGCCGAGTAGCGATACTCCAGACGAGCGAGTGTTGCGAGACAGGTCTGCCATTCGACCGCCTGCCCGCTTTCGCACGCAGTAATTGCATGGTCGGTAGTGAGTTTCTACATGCCACCAGGCGGAGGTGATGAAGGATAACTGCTGATCTTGCTTGCATGCATTGGTCTAATACTGATGACTGTGGTGTCATGTATTTAGAGTCTAGTGCACGGTATTGCTTTGTGGTACAAGTATTACATTGTTCATGATATTCGTTACAACAGTGTATGCTCTGCGTAGATAAGTAGATTGGGTTGCAAGGATAGCATGTTAGAAGTAATTGATTGGAACATCTGGGCCGCTCAATTACGTTAAGAGCACACTCTCATCATTGTTAACAACATTGTTGATCATACGGGTCAGATCCTAGTGTTTACCTAGTCATGTAATTTCTCGTGCTGCTGTGTTCAGCTGGTTGGACTACTCTAATAGTAATACCTTAATTACTAGCCTTCGATAGCACGTGCGAGTGCGGGCTTTTGCTGCGCAACTGGTATACCCCACAGTGTATTTAGAATAGTCTTCAATAATAATCTAGTTCAGTGAGTTTCACTACTTCCTAGAACTAATACAAGAAACACCAGGTCCTGAGATTGTGCGGTGTGCGTCCTGAGATTGTGCGGTGTGTAGAAGAGTCTGATGGTCTTTCCCCTTCAGACTGCACTGCTATGAGCATTCAAGCAGGCAGTTATGGTTTGTAGGAAATCTTATACTGGATGCCATTCATTGTGCCATTGTGACCTGGCCACTATTGACGGTCATGCAAATGTTCATATCTAGATGTACATGACTGCGGGAGTGTATGGGTTCCCAGCGTCCGATTCATGGTTGGTGTTCCCTTCATTTCAGTATCCACGACTGAATCAGCCAGTTGTCTGTGTCCGGCATGAAGTATACATCATGTGCCTAACAGTTATGCTACTTATCAACGTTTGTCTTTCTGGACATGTGCAGGACTTGGCACTGAAGCACCGAGCGGGCTTGCTGCACCGGCCGCCGCCAATGCACTTGCAATCGTCGTACCAGCACGACTATGGGCAGAAGAAGGCACCCGTTGGCGCGGCCCCAGCAAAAGCACCAATACTGGAGGCAACTCGCACTCTGATGCGAGACGGACAGGGCCAGGCTAGCAGTGCTCCCAGTGGAGCAGCTCTCCAGCCATTCCAGGCAGCGACCGAATACCAGCGAAACTATCAGCGCTGGGCACAGCCAGCTGCACCACCGCCCGTCAGTCGCAGTGACCTCCCCACCCGCAGAGAGGGCAACTTCCTTCTGGAGGATATATCGAGCGACGAGGAAGAGGACGAACGGCATCAACACCAGCAAGAAAGCCACCCTACACAATTGAAGTATGCAAAGCTGGACCTTCCAGCACAACAAGCACGTGTGCCAGTTCAACCTGCGGCTGGGATGCCTTCATCAGGTCCTGCCGGCAAACAGGTATTATTATTATTATATTTTTTGATAGTGGGTCTAGTGCATGAGGGTTCCTCGGTGCTATCTGATGTCAGAAAAAGTCGAGTAGTCTATGGGACCCGTGTCATCTGCCTTGCAACAGAACATGCGGCTGTAATTGACCCTTGACCAGTAGCAGAACCAGCTTTGGGTACCTCTACCTCTAAAAGGCGGGGTACACGTATCTTTCGTGAGGTACAGTACCTGCATTCCTAACAAACCCACTTCCGGCCAAATTAGCATCAGGTTTTCGAGCCAATTTCAACCGTTTCATTTCTACTAAAAAGGATTGTAATGTTCTATGCTATCATGCGTTCTTTTAAGGTCACCACAACTGCCGTCCCAGCACAAGCAGCCAAAGCCCCGTATGCACAGCTTGCAGTACCTGTGATGCATGCACCACACCAGCAGCAGCAGCAGCCTCTGCCGCAATTTGCCCAACCTCAGTGTACCGAGGAAGAGCAGCGCTTGGCAAACCTGGAACGAGGAAGGTAATTTTTTTTATAGTTGGTTTGCCGCTATAGTCACGCGGCGCCTCCAGCAGAGCCAGGATACTAGAAGGCTCGGTGTGGGTCACAGTGATCTGTGGGATTGAGAAGGTTCTACATGTTACATGTAGCTGGAGATGTGGTGGCTGTGATTATATTGTGCTCTTTACACAGGTGCTCTGTACAGGTACCGCTTGACGTATGATATGGTATGGTATGGTATAGGTTTTTTTTTCTTCTTCATCAAATCAACACTGGCATCGATGCCTTTTCACCAGGCCATTTGAGTGCCGTTTCAGTTGATTTTACCTGGGCGCGATTACTGAAATCTTTACACGTGTAGTTGTAGTGGGCGACTCACTCTGAGACTGGTCCAGTATGTCAGAGGTGTACCTATGCACGAAAGAGAGATTCGGCATCAATATAGCCAGCCCACTACTTGGATGGCGTTCAGTGGTGCACCTCCATGATCTGAAACCTAGGAATAACTCAGTTGAGTACGATCTGTTTTTCCTGTGCAGGCGCTTCAGGACGGAGTATCAGCGCACATTCTGTGAGCCCGCAGAGAAGCACCTGCGCTCTGCTCAAACAGTTCCGGCACCAGCCGCTGTAAGTTGGCACGTGTTCTGTTCTGCACGTTTTTTTGCGGTATTGTCACTATTATGATGGCCGCCCTCTTTGTAAATGGGTGCCAATATTCGCGTCACTAAATGTTCGCGATTTCTTAGAACCAGCGAGTTTGCAATGGCAAAAAGTTCGCGAAGCACAGGGATCACCTACATACACCCACTGCTGAAGCTTGATTTCACGCTGGTTAATATTCGCGTTACGCTCTTCTCGCGAAAATAGCGAACTTTAATCCGTCGCGAATATTAGTCAGTTTACAGTGTTCACAGAAGTCTCTTTGCTGGTCACGGTTGGACGATACGTCACTATGAGCGCAGTGGCGAAATGTAAGGAATGGATGGGTGTCATTGCATATCCTCACATCTTGCTTCTTGTTGTTGTGAACCTTCTACTTCTTGCAGACCGAGCTTTTGCCTGCATGGTATGACCAGGTGAGTTTGGAATGACTGCTACTAGTAAAACACACTAAAAATCCACCAATACTGCACACATGTGATGCAGCCTATATAGACTATGGATCCGTTAGGCCTGGAGTACCCGGCCTTACACTAGTTCTCTATACGTATGCATGCAGTTACACCGCAGTGACAGGTTGCTAGATGGCTCAGGTACTTCTCGTTTATGGCTTGCTCTGCACAGTGGAACCTGAGAAGTATAGGGGACACCCGGGGGACTACATGTAAGCCAGACAGTCCTCATTTCTGAGGTTCAAGTGCTAAAATGTGTCCTCCAAAGAGCTGCCGAAACTTAAGGTGACCTCACCGATCGATTTCCAGGCGTTTCGTATTTGTCAGGTGTCCTGACAAACTTTGCTGCACAGCATCAGTGTGCCAGCGGTTTCCAGGATTATATGAATGGACTTGAATTCCTTCCTGGGAAGAATGTGCGTCCCATTGTTGTCTATCCTTAGAGGCGTTTGGCACAGTAGAGTATGGGCTAGCTTCAACAGTAGCCAGTATAATACGTTTGCTTCTGTAGAACATCTCTGGCCACAAGACAGGGTCCTGTCTCCACTCTGCACATATGCTGCTACTAGTTGGAATGGAACGACTAGAAATTGACCGGTGTTTTACTTATGTTGCCCTTTCTGTCCATGTCCAGGTTTTGGACTTGCGCCAGAAGGCTAGAAAGTACCGCTCTCGCTCTCTGGGCACGTTCTTCTCCCGGTCATACTTTGACGAGCTCGAGGGTGCGCTGGCAAACTGGGAGACTGACAGCAGCGCATCAAGCAGTCGGCTGCCTGATGGAAATGGTCAGGCCACTGGTGTGCCGTCGTCCTCGGAAGCAGCAGCAGCAGCAGTGCCGTCGTCATTATCATCTCATCCAGTAAAGGCACAGGCAGCTGCTGCCAGCTCTGCAGCAGCACCTGGACCTGTGCAGCAAGCGTTTGCCAGCAATCCTCCCACCACTGGTGGCCAGGTGGCGCCATCTCAGCACGGTCTTGTTGCGCCAGGAGTGCGCCATGTTCCAGCACCGTACAGCCCTAGTTCTGCATCAGTCAGTAGCGCATCTACCATATCCTCTTCCTCCTCGTCATCTGCAATTGATCAGCTGCTGCAACATGTGAAACCAGTTAATCATCCGCACAAGGGAGGAGCCGGCGAGGGAAGGGTATCAACGCCAAACCTACCACCGGATCGTCCTCGTCATCATTTGGACCGAACAACACCTGGCCATCCAGCCGGTCTACTCCTCGAGTCGCCGGAACGCCCGCAACCCCACCGTGCCGCCCATTGCCGACCAGTTACCGAGCCAACGGTCAGGGCCAACCCGAAGGCAAAGACGGCCATGCCACCAACAACGACATTTGTTGCTCCTGGAGCGGCGGCGGCAGCGGGTAGACCAAAGACCGCAGCTGCAACTGGCAGGCCGTATTCCCAGCCTCCGCTTGACAGGAGCAAGAAATCCTCTAAGTCTGCAAGGTGTACATGTGGTGGTGCTGAGATTGGCCCCGGGCCCTACAACCAGCGTCATGTGCAACCGCAAAAGCAGCAGCAGCAGCCCAAACACCAGCATGCACCTGTGCTGCAACGACATCATGTACCGGGAAAGGTACCCAGTCAGGGTGGAGTGGCTCAGGATGGTCACCCCCGCGCGGGTGCCCGCCCCCGGACGGCAATGCCCGCGACCCTGGCTCGCTCGCGTGCCCCTCTCTGTGACTCTCTGTCATCCCTCTCCAGCCAGAGCAGCGCAACTGCTCAGGTGCTGCAACGTGCCAAGCAACGCCATGACACGTTCTGGACTCGTCAAGCCCCGCCGGCCACTACTACTGTCGCGGCTCATTGAGCTAGCAGTTCGTAATGCCGCGTGCGTCCCCCTGTGATGTCTGGTACAGGGTCAGTGCTGCATACTGCCACATGATCAGCTACCCAGCGGTGCACTATTATGCCATCATACGTCCTGGCAGCTGCATGCTTGATTCGCCGTTATTAGACAGCCAACTCACTATGACAATGACGAGAAGGGTTTCGAGTCGACGCAGGTATCAGCATTCAGGGGCTTGGCCTGCGCAATACTTGACTTAGGACGCTTTCCGTAGAACATGCGGCCGTAGGGTACTTTCTCTGAAACATAGTCTACCTGGCATTCATCTACTGAGTAGCCGGGACTAACGCTCACTCATGCATTCGTGCAAGAGAATAGTTCCAGTGTCAGCCTCGCGCTTTGATTATACCTGCCTAGCTCATGCAGAGGGGGGAAATTAGTGAATCGTCAATGCCGGACATGTCCCATTGCTCTTGATCGGCTACTACTAGTATTCTTTGTTATCTCTTTCAATTTTTTCTCTCCACTGGTTTCGTCTGGACAGGAGTGGTAATTTGCTGTTGAAATTTCTATCTTTTATTTTTGCTATTTGTATCACAATAACGTATCAGATTATTCAGTTTTACTGCCGCAAAGTGTGTTGACGTTTCGCTAACAGTGCACCTCATGAGAGCACTCGCTGTGCCATATGACTCGTAACTCCTATGACTTATTGAGTATGTATTCTAGTTACACTGTTAGTTTTTCTTTACAACTTTTAAATTACTCAAACAAGTACTGACACCAGTTGCGTGATGTGGAGGTGACCATGGTGACGGGACACTTCGCAACCTTACCTGCACTCTAAAATTAGTGCAAGCAGTGTGTGTGTGTGTGTGTGTGTGTGTGTGTGCGCGTGCGTGTGTGTGTATGTATGCATTTGTGTGTCACGGTGTGTGTATGTATGCATTTGCGTGTCACGGTGTGTGTGTGTGTGTGTGTGTGTGTGTGTGTGTGTGTGTGTGTGTGTGTGTGTGTGTGTGTGTACCAGTATGTCCATGCAGTTTGGCTCAGAGGCTAGATACATGTACAGGACACATTTCATTGGACGGTGTATGTTGCACTGTCGCTTTAGCTTTCGAAGTTCCGCAGCACTGGGCTCGTTCTTAGTCTAAAGGCCCCGGCCGGCTTTGAAAAACGGTCCCGGATGCCCGGGCCGTGAGTGGATTATGGCCATGTTGATCGTTGAAACAAGTGAAACTCATCATGAGTTCTGTTTGTTCACACTCCACTAGATACACGTGCAATGTCATGGTGTAGGAGTCATGTACATTGCACTATGACTGATTGTAGTACAGTCTAGTCATGTACATGGCTCCCTGCTCCACAGTCGTACATGTACACACAGGCCTACTTACCGTCCCGGCACACAACACCTACACTGGCTACAGGCTTGAATAGTATTAGTACTAGTAAGTAGTACTAGTAGTGTAGCCAATGAAAAGCCGCTGAGCAAGCCATGAAATAGAACTCATACTGAACTAACTTAGAATAGAAGGCCAAAAAAGAGTAGCAGCTGCTGATTCAAGCCTTGATTGACGTCGGTTGGGTGACGTTTGTTAGCGCGCCACAGTAGAAGACTGTGTTCAACAATGTTGTTACATACAGTACATGTACTACAACAGTACAAAGTATGTCACCGTCATTGCATCACAAAATCAATAATTCAAGCTGAGGTGACGTCAGCACTGACGTAACTCCGCCATATCATCCTCGATGCAAATCATTCACATTGCTTGCGTCTTTTTTGTTTTTGCTGTCGTCGTCGTTGTCCTCGAGCTTCTCCTTGTTCCAGGAGGTACCTACCTCTTTCTGGCCTAAGCAGTATAGCAGGCGATCCACTTGATCTGGAACAATTTTTCTCGATTTGATCAAGTTTGCACTGGTTGGTCTCCAGCCAGCTTACCCACGGTTCATTCTGGAAAAAATCTAGCACCCACACGAGGTCGTGCGTGGTGAAGCATCAGCCACGTAATGTCGGAGGAATCGGAGAAAGGTCCGTTCTGCTGCTCCTTTGCGGGGTGTAACCAGGTGAGTGAGATGACAGCTGAGCAGAAATTTATTGTCCTCCACATTTTGTAGCCATCTAGGTGTGAACTCATTCTGTAATCTCTGCGTGGTGGTGATGACGACAAAGCACTAGTTGGATACCATTACATCACTTTCGTTCATTTTGCACTTGTGTTGTCATTGATGATGAAGAAGAGAAAGTCCCATGATGCTGCGGTGGTCAGTGATGTAGTGATCGGTCATGACGTCTTGCCGGTTGTTTGTTTAGAACTTCAGCAACATCGATCGATTGAATGTCCACATGGATATCCACAAGGGAGAGCCGGGTGAGGCGGAAGATCTTCGATTGAAGATGACCCGTTCCGAACAAATAATAGGTAAAGTGAATCATGTTCTCCGTATCTTTCATGTGATGTGAATTTATTTTTGTGCTTTGACTTGTGCCGGTCCTCCATTCTAAAGTGAAGTGTAAGCATTTTACAGCTTGCGCCGTCGAGTTGTCGAGTGTCGCGTGTTTGTCGTCGTGTTGTGATTTGTGAAAGGTATGTTCATTTTTTTCATCGCCTTGGCAATTGGGCTCGCATGTGGTCGGTATATCGTACTGCAACCAGTTATCGTTTGTTGCGCGTGTAAAATGACACATACAATGTAGCTTCGAACTCGAGAGATCGTTTAAAAAAGTTTGTTTATTGTTTATCGAGTGACTCCGACTGTGCTGATGTCATGCGTTCAAGAGTTAGGCGTGTATGTCCTGTCTTGTTCGGTCCTGCGCCCGCTTTGCTCTGCTTGTTAGTTGTACAATCATGTGGGACTGTTATTAGCTGTAAAACAGTATAATATTGTCTTCTTGTACATATGCGTGGGTGGATGTGGGGGTTGGTAGCAATACATGTGGAGGCAGTGTATATAATTTGTGTACGTGTGTACGTACGTATGTGCGTGTGTGTGTGTGTGCGTGTGTGTGTGCGCGCGTGCGTGTGTGTATGCGTGCATGCATGTGCGTGCATGCGCGTGCGTGCATGTGTGTGTGTGTGTGTGTGTGTGTGTGTGTGTGGTGTGTGTGTGTGTGTGTGGGTGTGCGTGCATGCGCGTGCATGTGCGTGTGTGTGTGTGTGTGTGTGTACATGGTGTGTGTGTGCGTGCATGTGCGTGTGTGTGTATGTATGTGTTTGTGTGTGCGCGCACATGCATGTGTGTGTCCGTGTGTGTGGTGTGTGCGTGCGTGTATGTGTGCACGTGTGTGTGTCTGTGTGTGTGTGTGTGTGTGTGTGTGTGTGTGTGTGTGTGCATGTGTGTGTGGGTGCATGTATGTGTGTCCGTGTGCATGTATGTGTGTCCGTGTGTGTTTGTGTGTGTGTGTGTGTGTGTGTGTGTGTGTGCATGTGTGCCCGTGCTCATATGTCAGTCGTCGAGTTGTTGTCGTTCGCATTGTCACTTTGGCCAAGCCGCCGCTTGCTTGAAGCCCAGTGCACATAGTTCTGTGCTGGGCAGGATCGGTCTAGAGGTTGTTGGTACTGCATGAAGTTCACTTGGGGTAACGCCAACAGTATGTTATGTAGCCCTAGATAGTGTGCAGCTCCGTCATCAGCGGTGCTGTGGCAGAATTTCAAGTTGACGTTATTTTCGTATTGCAGTGTGCAGTATAGATGTATTTTTAGTCGTGTGCGTGGATCAACGATGGACATTGCACTATCTGATCCTGTAGCGCGTACAAACTTGTGTCAGCAGGCACGTTAATGTCTACGTAACTTATGCATGTGTGCATTGACACCTTTTGCAAAACGTCAGTAATCACACATACCACACACTCACACACTCACGAATGCATCCCGCATATACCATGTACATATGCACACACACACACACACACACACACATACAGATATGCATACACACACCACATGCAGACAGACAGACACACACACACACAAACACACCACACACGTGCACACACACCACCACCACCATGTATACACCCGTCGCAAGAGAAGTACGCAAATCTGCACTGGATGTGCACCCACAGATTTTCTCTTATAGCAACGATAGCGAACAAGATCACACACACACACACACACACACACACACACACACACACACACACACACACACACACACAAACACACACACACACACACACACATACATACATACACACACACACACACACACACACACACACACACACACTCTCACACACACACACACACACACATACACTCTCACACACACACACACACACACACACACACACACACACACACACACACACACACACACACACACACACACATAGCATGAAATGACGAAAATTTGAAATCCTATCGAAACTGTACCGCATGCAATAGCTGCACGCTCGTGGGGGCCTTTGTACTTTTGCTAGCTAGTCTATGTTTGTGAAATAAATTAATCCTGGAGGCTTAGTGTGTGAATGCAAGAATTCTTGAACTTCCTCCTCATCCTCCATCCTGTTATGCATAGCGTACATGTGTTGCGTATGAGCATGTTGTTTGTGTGTGTGTGTGTGTGTGTGTGTGTGTGTGTGTGTGTGTGTGTGTGTGTGTGTGTGTGTGTGTGTGTGTGTGTGTGTGTGTGTGTGTGGTGCGCTTCCATGTCTGTATGTACATGGCGTGCGTATGTGCATATCAGCACACGAAGCACAGAACCCATACTGATAGTTTCGACTAGGCCTTTCGTACCATTACTTTTTAAGTCGAATATAGTGATGATTAAAGCCACCACGGCAAGCAAGTCCTTATGGCAAGCAAGTCCTTATATCCGGCACTTTGGCCACTATGTAGTTGGCACCACTAGCTTAGGTGCTTTTTTGTCACTGCTCTCCTGGTTTGCTTCCCTCCAACCAAGAATCTATAATGTGCATATGTGTGTGTGTGTGTGTGTGTGTGTGTGTGTGTGTGTGTGTGTGTGTGTGTGTGTGTGTGTGTGTGTGTGTGTGTGTGTGTGTGTGTGTGTGTGTGTGTGTATGTGGTACTGTCTACATGTGTCTGTGGTGTGCGTTGATCAGCATGTGACTATCAGTGGTTGGCACCACTGTTGTTGTCGTGTTTGTTACATGTATGTACAGTCAGACCTCGCTTATCCAGTCCTCTTTTATCCGGATCCCTCGCCATCCGGAAGAAAATAGCTGGCTACAGATTTACAGCATACGCGATGCAGCCAACAAAACCGGTGTTCGGTTATCCGGTTCCCTCGCCTATCCGGATATTTTGTGGAAAACGGATGTGTGCGGTTAATCGAAGTCTGACTGTATCTATGTACTTCTAGGTATGGATATACTGATGGCGTAGGCGAAACACCCTAAATTTTGAGAGACCAGGTGTTTAAAGAAGGTGCTAGGGATAGGTTCAGGTGTCAAATTGACCAGATGAGTACATTATGCTGTTAGTTTATATCCTTTGACAGTGTCTGTGTCTCTATGAGGGTTATGGTACTTAGCATGCATGTAGGGGGTGTGAAGAAATAGCCAAGAACGTCCTGGGCTGGTGCCAGATGATGGCAGCACCTTTTGTGATAATTATACTAGTTACTACTTCCTGGCGTGTCAGCACCTTGGTGCAACTGGTGCTATTTTAATATTTTTCTAGCTCTGGAGCTATTTTTCTCGCCATTTGATCTTGGCGCCGCTGTTTTCAAGCCATCCCCTTCGATGTGCATTGTAGCCAATTGGCACATAAAAGGACTATGCTTGGAGTAGGGTGATCATAATTTTCACTCCCTGAACATTGCTTCTTCCAATCAGTCAACTCTTGAGTAGTAGCAGCAGATTGTATAAATTGCCTTATCTTCCATTTGTTTGCCAGAAGCTCGACCTGTTCAAGTATTGGCTATTGGGCACTCTTTGGGGATGAACTGCGTTTGCCACTGCCCATTGTACGGTTGACTGATGGCTGCTTTTGCATGAAACTGAGAGTAACAGCTAGATTGCTGTGGACCATATCTTTGGATGCCGACGGTATGTGTATATTTATATGTTTGTTTACTCAATTCTCTGCGCAGCCACGTGGCTAACTGCTTGTGCCAATTAGTTCGCATCAGTGCAACTAGGAGCTGAAGTAGAAGAAATTGCCCGCCATGGCGGTTAATATCACTGAAACTGGGGGTGTGTGTTCATGCAGATCAAACTCCAACTCCTACTCGCTTCCTACGTGTGTGTGACGCAGAAGGTCTTTTTCAAGACATGCAAAAGTCGGCCAATCCATTTGATGAGGTAAGACGTAGTAGACAATAGGCGTGATGTACCATTAAGATGATCATTAAGATGATCATTAAGATGATCCCCTTAAGCTTGCTACGTACTAGAGTGAAAGCTGTCTAAGCTCAAGCCAAGGGCCCTTCAAAACTGTTGTCCCTGTGTACAGCTGTCGTCCCCTTATACAGGGTTGTATCAGTGGAAGTGATGTCCGTTGGTCCTAGTTGTAGAGGTCCTCTGGGACAGGTGGTCGCCGTATCAGAGTGGTCACTTTGACAGGGTTTGCTGTACACGTGCGTGTACGTTAGCGATGCGAAATACATCAAACCTTGGAAACATGGTCCTTGAGATATCTCTGAATAGTAAATACAACATGGACTTCTGGTTTTCGCGGAATGAAACATGAATGCCTGGTACTTGCTGGTCATTGCTTTTGCACACGTATTGTGGTACTTTGCTCCAGTCATAGGTCATACGGATTTACGCTGAAGTCGGCTTACGGTACGAGTGTAAACTTTGTAACATCCTGATTGTAGTTTCTCTTGACGTGCCTCGTTTCAATACTGTTGCCCTGTCTTGTGTACGTCCGTACGTGTACACATATGTGTGTGCATGTGAATGTGTGTGTGTGCGTTTGTGCACGTGCATGTGCGCATGCACCAACAGGGCTTTCAAGCTGGCATTCAGAAGAATGTAAGTCTGAGTCAAGTATGGCTTGGCTGTGCAAGCCACATAGGTGGTAATTTACATGTATTGGTAATACATAATGTGTGTATTGGTAATACATAATGTATTGGTAATACATAATGTCTTCACTAGTTTGAGGGAAAGAGACAAACGGGAAAAGTCTGAAGAAAAAATTGACTGTCACCACCAGGACTCGAACCAGGGACCCTCGCTTGTAGCTAGCGATGCTCTAACCACTGAGCTATGGTGTAGTCGTCATCCCAGCAGAGACTGTTCAACACTTTCTTCAGACTTCGTTACTCACACTTCCTGTGAATCCACACAGGCGGGTGGGACGCAGCCCTCACTGTACCCACACACTTCACGTACACTCTAGCACGCGGGGAGCCCCAAGTCATAAAATCTTCACTAGTTTGAGGGAATACATAATGTGTTGGTAATACATAATGTGTGTACGAGTGGGCCCTGGCTACGCTGAGGTGTTATAAGCCTTCCCGTCGCTTCAGACGGGCGCACGGTCAGAACTCAAGTCCTTGTGTTGTCTGTGGCGTTGGATTATCTGACACTGCCTGATATCCATGTCAATGCCGTTGAAGGATAGTTTTTTTCGTACTGCTAGTGAGACCATTGTTTGTGTGTGTGTGTGGGTGGGTGGGTTGTGTTCTGTTTGCTGAACTTATGAGAGAATTCTGCTGCTCATTTGCTTCATGCCCACATGCTGTTTCAGAGCCAAGAGCCAACGAATCAATTCAGCGGCGTTGAAACGCTGGCGGCCGTGGCAGTGGCAAGTGCCGCTGCATCGCCCTCTCATAGCGATGACGATCAGAAGCCGGGCGAGAATGGTGGCGTTGCCGGAGCATCGGCGACTGTACCCCCGACGACGTCCACCACCTACGCAATCAGCCAGGCGAATCGCTTGACCGGTCCGTTTATGAACGGCAACGTCGTTGTTCCCGTTCCGCCACCAGCGTCGCTTGCCAATCCCGACGCGTCCGTTCCCATGGCTATTCCTCCAACCAGCTTTCTGAAAGGCGGCGCCACTTCTGGCGGCGTTCCAAGCTCAGTGCGGTCGACTGCCAAGACAGTTTCACCTGAAACAAAGAAGGTTAGTTATTGTACTGACCTGTTATTCAGCTGGTATCATAGGTCATGAATGCACACACAAGTTAGCACTAGAAGTATGCTGAATTAAGCTGTAACTCTGAGTTTGATGGCTATCCGCCAATCCTCAGGCAACAATGATGATACTGATGGAAAGTCCCCGGGGTTATAGGAGAGAAGCAATAAGGACTGCCACAGCAATTTTAGCACATCAGATAGAGACAAAGATAAAGGTGCCGTGCCTGGGAATGGGGCGATGATATTGCAGTGTAGAGTGCTGTCTGAGGATTGGCGGATAGCCATGAAACTCCGAGTTACAGCTCAATTCTGCCTAGTTCCATTGCTAACTTGTGTGTTTGGCTCTGCCCTCGTGGCATTGAGTACTTTTTGCAAGGGTTTAGCGACGTAGCTTTAATGTACAGGACTACTTTATGCAAACATTTCTTCCATATTTGGGCAATTTGCCGCCTTTTCTGGCTTTTTGGCCACCTCTTTTTGCTCATATATGGATGGTCAGTAGTACATGTACAAGATCTGTGAACTTGGTTATCCTCTATGGAGTGGTTTCCCATCTTTGTCATGTGACGTTTGAAGTAAATTCGTGCAGAAAGTGATCATGGCAGATGGACAGTGGAATCAACATGGCCAACATCGTGTGACCCAGAGATGCAGGGGTTGACTGGACTAGGAACCAACATGGCCAACATCGTGTGGCCCAGAGATGCAGGGGTTGACTGGACTAGGAACCAACATGGCCAACATCGTGTGACCCAGAGATGCAGGGGTTGACTGGACTAGGAACCAACATGGCCGTCCCCCTGTATGGTCATGTGATAGATGTGAAACCACTCTATTGCCTACAGAAAATTGTAATACATTTTGTCAATTTAATGTTTTGTATTGTACAGTAGTGCTGTATTTGTCCTGGCATTCCATATGGAGTGTTAAGGTACAGTTTATCAACGAGCCAAATGCCTGGCATCCCTGTTCTTGTACTGCTGTTACGAGTCTGTAGCAACGCTCTGTGTCCAGATCTTCGCAGTGTGTGTGTGTGTGTGTGTGTGTGTGTGTGTGTGCTGTGAAGTATGGTACGGGTATCTGTGTTGTTTGTCTTGGTCGTTTCTACCAGTGTGCATGTTCGTTGTCAGTGTAACCGTGGTAACCGTGTGTGTTAGCGCTGGTCTGGGTGGCTACATGTTGGCGGTGCTAGTACCAGTGTGTATATGTCCTGTCTCAGAGGCATTTTAGACATACACTCATGCAAGGTTCTAGCTATAGGTAGGAAAAAGTTGTGGGAAGGGGGGGGGGGGGGGCGGGGAACAAACAGTTCACCCATGTTTCCATGTTCAACGCCTTGCCACACAAAATGCAACGTACGCACGTAGTGAGAACCCAGAACGATCGACCTGTGGCCACATTTTCGTTGTGCGGACCGAAAAAAAACCCACAAAAATTGAAGAAAAAATTGGTAGGGTGGCGCGCCATTAGAGTAGTGGCGCTGTGCCCTGCTAGTGATGAGTTGGACAGTTAGGTGGCATGTACTGTTCTAGTTGCTAAGCACATGTAGTCGTATTACGTGTAGTCGAACCATGGGGATGACTTGCAGTTACCCCTATCATGATGGGTATCTTATCTGTGGATGGTTATCTTATCTGTGGATGGGTATCTTATCTGTGGATGGAGGGTGCCTGGTACCAAGGTTTGCATGTTGACCAGTTTCTGGCATTGAGCAAGCACAGTGGAGTACAATATCGTACATGTGTGTGTGTGTGTGTGTGTGTGTGTGTGTGTGTGTGTGTGTGTGTGTGTGTGTGTGTGTGTGTGTGTATGCGTGTGTGCGCTCGTGTGTGTACATGCATGTGTGCGTTGTACTGTTGCCATTGGGTGCGCACTGTCACAGCGCATACAGCAAACACTGTCGCAAATGCACCCCACTGCAGTCACAAGCATAGCGGACAGGAGTGCTGTGGAAGCAGCTGTTTCAATAGCGGTGAGCATGATAATTACATCTCCCCTCCTGTCACCTGCCACCCCACCCAGTACCCATCCTGTATACAGCCACTACCATGCTTTGTTCTGCTATCACAATAGTCCAGTGTCCAAGTTTCCATACAGGCGCTAAGTACCGTAAAACATGCAATTTTCGGTGTAACTTTAATTGTGATTTCGGTAGAGAAACCAGGCACCTAAATTTCAATTACACCTAAAGGCACTAGAGTATGCACTGTATGTGATGAGCAGTATAATGCATGCAAGTGGCTTCTCCCATTTTTGTAGGATTGTAGTACTGTTGCCTGTAATATCAGCTGCTTACACATCGTATGCCTCTCCCTGGATCTTCGAATGGTGTTTCCGTATACTTGTGTGGCGAAATGGCGCTAAATACATATCCTATCGCATGAAAAGACAAAGCCAGCTGTGAACCTGATGAGGCCTTTCGTACCGGTACTTCTCGAATCAGTACATGGTGATCGGGTGAGCGCAACAATGTCAATTTAGACAGCGTATTGGTGGTGAAATGGTGATATAACGTACACTGGTTGGACGATGGTGCTAGTTGCGCCAACGAGTACACAACACATCACAGGGAGGTGGGAAATCCGAATAGCACTAGCTTCCGTCTGATAGTTGGTGGCTTTCCTTCGCTCTTCAGCTCCCATGCGTGTTCAGCGAGCTCAGTACTGCTTTTGTACTTTTCATGACGCATGGAGGTGAGGTGGTTGGCGTGTTCTGACCGGACTTGGACCTCCTAACGCTCAAACCCGCCTGTTGCCCACTGTCTCTCCTAGCGCCTCAGCTCGCGCTTTCTTCCACTATCTGACACTACCAGACGTTGACGCCCACCTGCACATAGCGCTAGATTTGTTCCGATATCTGACACTACCCGACTTAGCACCCGCCTGCACCTAGCGCTATGTCTTTGATCCTTTGTCTTGATAAGCGTACTGTTGGGTAGAACCCTATGTCAGTTATCTGATGATTGCCTCGCGGCATGAACACTCAGAGTTACAGCCAACTTGAACGTTTTCTCCGCCGAGTCTGCTAATTCTATGCTGCTGGATGGGGAGTCTTGTCTTCTAATCAGCTCTAGGCGAACACATCCAATTGGAGTCTCGCCTTCTTATCAGCTCTAGGCGAACACATCCAAGGCGAGTCTTGTCTTGTAATAGGCTCTAGGCGAACACATCCAAGATGAAACGTTCCCTGGTGAGTCTAGCGGGGATGAAATGCACCGGTCCGTCGCAATCCAAGCCAAGTCTTCGCTGTGTTTCCCCGCGTCTACGTTGATAAGTAAACACAGCGCTGTGTTTTTGTGTTGTGTGTACAGTGTGTGTACAGTGTGTGTACAGTGTGTGTACAGTGTGTGTACAGTGTGTGTACAGTGCAGTGGAGTACCGGATGTGTGGATGTGTACTGTGACTGGGGTGTCTCTTGTACAGTATAATTATGCAGGTCATGTTCCTGCAGTGTAGTTGAATGATTCGTTAATAATAATAATTATTATTATTGCCATGTCAGCTGTGTGTGTGTGTGCGTGCGTGCGTGCGTGCGTGCGTGTGTGTGCACTGGCTGTTGGTAACCACCCAGGAGAATGAAAGAAAAGTCAGGAGAATGAAAGAAAAGTCAGGAAGAGGCTGAGAAAGAGAAGAAAGACGTGTGTGACCATAAGTAGGGATTCACTGGCCAGAAAAAGCCACTTTATAGCTGTGTGGTGTAGACCAAGCTGAATAGTGGCGGCCAATTCTTCAGCCTTGCAAGCTGTTGAATGGTGCAATCCCAGCACAAGTTGCTATGGCTTCTGCTGTAGCATCGCTATCATCGCCTCTGGCGATGGGCGTCCAATGGTCCAATGGTGTGTGTGTGTGTGCCAGCTAGTTCGGTTGGTGGGTACACGTATGCCTGATTGTGTTGGGTCTGTTGCCAACGGGCTCGGCTGCTTGAAGGGGTAATGTTGTACCTGCCACCTTTGTTAGTTCCAGGGTTCATATACCCGGTACTTTCTATTTGAAGTGTACATACCTGTTAACCATGGACTGCTTCTGGCTAGATTAACTCTTGTGTAATCAATGGTGCTAGTTAAGCTTATATCAGATCCACGCTGATTCAGCCACCCACACTAGTAGCCTTCACTGGGGGCAGGGGTAACTGCAGTTGGATCCCTGGACGGATACCCTGATGCCGTCAATCCTTTTTCTGCACCTTGTCCTCACCCACTTACTGAGGTGTGGTGAGCCCATAAGTGGGATCATTTTCAAGTCCACCCAGAGTTTTGGGGATTTCAGGGGGTGTCGGCCGTTGGGCGGTTCAATAGCCAATTGAGTCATCTTTCCAAGATTCCTTTTGAGTCTCTCTCCCCTCTCCCGGGGAGACCCACATGACCAGTTTTGGCAGTGAGCAACAAGTACAAGTACAGTCAACTTGGCTGATAACGACATTCGGCGGGGCATCAAAAAGGTGTCCTTATTCGTGAAGTGTCGTTATACCCGAAGTCTCATTATATGTATTACAGTGGGATGGGACTTTGCTCTGGGCATGGAAATTCTGTCGTTATATCCGCAGTCGTTATTAGCGAAGTTGACTGTAAGTACAAGTGTGTGTGTGCGTGCGCGCGCGCGCGGGCATGTGTGCGTGCGCAGGCGTGTGACCATGTGTGTATGCATGTGTCTTCTGCCTTGCATATTATTTCTGTTGAATTGAAACGGTTCTTTGTCCTGCTGTGTTGTCAATGTTGTTGCTGGTGTGGCTGTGATGGTGGTGATGGTGTTGGTGATCGCTGCTGGTGGTGTTGTTGGTGATCGCTGCTGTTGTGGTCGTGCTCACAGAACACTGTCATGAAGCAAACAGAATCCGTAATGCCAACAGCAGCATCAGCAACAGCATCGTCTTCTGAGCTAGGCATGGACGAGGACGATATTGACACGCATACTGTCCATCTCTCGATGGACGGTTCTATAGCTGGTTCAGAGTTCGATGAGTCCATGTCGTCAATTGGTGATGGTTCACAGCATTCATTGGATGGAACTCCAGGTAGACCTTCTAGCAGGTAAGTTCACTTGCTGTGTACTGTATGACAGGGTGGTTAGTGAAAGCCATCTGGCTACATTGCTGAAGTTTTATGTGCATTTTTCTCTTGCAAAAGGATTTCATTATGATGGTGAAAAGTCTTATCTTGGTGGGTTTTTCGAAATGAGGGAGTGTAGGCTAGGGAGGAGTTTAGACAAGTACAAGGGAACTCTCCAGTATCTACTGAAGTAGGAGAGATCATTGCCGGAGATCAGCTGTGCACGAGTGCCTGTTGTGTTACACTGGGGTACGGGGTACAGCCTGTTGTGTTACACTGGGGTACGGGGTACAGCCAGCCTTAGCACATGACTGTGAACAGGACCATACCGGCATACGCAGTCCATGACCTGACATGCAGGGCCCTGGCTGGGCTGGCATCACAGAATGTGCATTTGAATTGGACAATGCATAATATTATGGCCCAGCGACCCAGGGGAGCATTCGGTTGGATCTAAAGGATCCGAATTTGTCCAAACAAGCATACCTGAAGCTCATGACCTGTGGGTGTGGGTGTGCGAGTATGTATTGTGTGATTGTGTACAATCTTAAAGCATGATGATGGGCAGTAGGAAAGGGTAGTAGCATTGGGAACAACTGACGTATGTAATCAAGCACGCTCAGGAGGTCATGATGGCTGAATCTTGCCCGAGCCTGCAGCCCAAGGGCCGTAGGCCCGAGGGCTGCAGGCAAGGGCAAGATTCAGCCATCATGACAGACAGAGCGTGCTTGATTTGATTTCTTACAGCGCGAAGCAACATATTAGGGAAGGTCAAAGGTCGAAGGTCGAAAAATTATTCTCGAAATGACGTCAAACGGTCCGAACATTCCCGAAATGACGTCAAACGGTCCTGAAACTCCCGAAATGACGTCAAACGGTCCTGATGGCCTGATTATGCCCGCGGCGGGAAGATCGCCTATTGGCCATGGCCCCGGCAACGATCACGTGTCATGTAAGAAACATGTATCAAGGTGTAGAGCACTAGCATGGGTGTTGCTGGAGCTGTCGTTTTCTCTGTGTGTGCCGTTCTGCAGTACTAAGCGGAAGCGTGTTTCAGACGACGTAGACCCGACGGAAAAGCGTGCACGATTCTTACAGCGAAATAGGTACGGCCGCCCTCTCCTGATTGTTGGTCACTGGCTACTGCTATTCTCGCACGCCGGCAGTGCTTGGTGTGTGCGTGTGTGTGCGTGTGCGTGCGTGTGTGTGTATGTGTGTGTGTGTGTGTGTGTGTGTGTGTGTGTGTGTGTTGAATGTTGAATGTTGAATGGTGTAATGATCCCAGCACAAGTTGCTATGTCGTACATAGCTTGTTCGCTACATTTTACATGTGCTTGAAGTACTTGGCTTTCCATGCATTCACCGCCTTCGTCCTAGTTACGTGCTGGCATGCTATGTGATGCAGATTGGTCAGAGGCTTAAACGTGAGCTGTGGAATTGATTTTATTTTGGGGGAGACTTTTGGTATGCATGTACAATAATGTGCATGTGCTTGTTTCATGTCTTGCCTATGCAGGGAAGCAGCAACTAGATGCAGGGAGAAGCGGAAGGAGTGGATAGCCACTCTCGAAAGGAGAGCTCAGGATTTGGCGCGTCAGAATGCTCAGCTCCAGGTACAGGGTGACGAATACTGCCTTGTCTTCTGTTCTCAGGAAAGAGCAGATATCCTGCTTGGTTGAGTACGTAGCTGCAATGTTCCCAGTTGAGAGGGCGAAGGCACTCTATTGGTGTGTACATGTCAATCTAGTTCCTAGCTGTAGTTCAATTCTCGTCGCTAGGTAGGCATGGCACTGTTTAGTCATATTGCTTTCCCTTAGGGGTCCGTCCGTAAATATATGTATTTACTTAGAGACGTCTCACGGGAGTTTCTTTCTTGACCCACCCACCCACCTCCAGAAACGACCCCCAAAATGCAGAAACCAAGGCCAATGATCCTGTTTCACACCTACCTGTCACCTGGTAGCTGGCTGTCACTGCATGCAAGCGCATGTTTCTGGGAGTACGGAGTATGTGTCCCTGTCTACTCTGCCGTGACGCGTGCAGTGCAGTGTAGTGCGTCTCAAGGCCTACCTGTACTAGTCACTACTAGCTATAGCAGTGCAGTGTAGTGCGTCTCAAGGCCTACCTGTACTAGTCACTACTAGCTATAGCAGTGCAGTGTAGTGCGTCTCAAGGCCTACCTATACTAGTCACTACTAGCTATAGCAGTGCAGTGTAGTGCGTCTCAAGGCCTACCTGTACTAGTCACTACTAGCTATAGCAGTGCTACATAATGTACATGTTCACGCGCAGTATGGTATGCATGCACTCCGAAATGTATTTTTAGAGACGCCTTGCAGGCAAACCCACCCACCCACAAACACCCAATAGACGTCTCCAAGTAAATGCATGTATTTACGGACGGCCCCCTATGAGAATTTGATGGAGCTATGGTTGTTCCTGCTGGTCGTTATGGAGTTCTAATGGTTGTACTCTGTGTGTGTGTGTGTGTGTGTGTGTGTGTGTGTGTGTGTGTGTGTGTGTGTGTGTGTGTGTGTGTGTGTGTGTGTGTGTGTGTGTGTGTTGTTTACCCAGGCCGAGGTGAACGCACTGCGGAATGAACGGGCTCATCTAAAGGTTCTTTTGCTGAGTCACAAGGACTGTCCTGTGACTGTCCAACAGCAGAAGTCAATGCAGATTCCAGCCAGCCTCTTACCGCAGAGTGGTGTGGCTCAGTCAACCACAGCGGGTAGTGGTAGCAATGCCACTGCTGGGTCTACAACGGAGGACAGTGAACCTCCTGTGGCGGAGGTGGCAGCTGTGGAGAGTGGCAATGCTGCCGTAGCTGGTGATGCCACTGCTGCAACCGCTGCCGCTACTGCAACAGCCCCCGCCGTCGGCCCAATTGCTGCGGCCGTTGCTGGTCTTTCTTCCAGTCAGAATATGGCACTCGGAGTTCCATCGCTGGTTATGCCGGTACCTAATCCTGCTGCTGCATCTGATGGCACTGGTCAGGTACCGAAGGGAGCAGTCACTCTTGCCCTACCTGCACCGCTCAATGTAACAGGTCAGTCTCGTTCAAGTAGTTCTGTACACCTGTTTCCGCCAGCTGTAGCATCTGTGTGATCGGTGACGAGCGACGTGTGACGAACGGTGTATGACATGCATGCGGTGTGTTACATACTCTACAGTTTAGTGTGCCGACTGAAACTATCTGCTGACATAGTGTGCTGCTTTGTGTACATGTGATTGGGTGTGTTCAGGTGCCAATCAAGGAGTGAACTCTCCATTGACTCCTCTTCTCATGTTTCCGCTAACGTCAGACCACTTGCAGATGGCAGCGGCAGCCACGGCGACACCCAATGTTGACATGAACTCACTAAACATACTGCAACAGCTTCAGCAGCAGGTGCAACGGACAGGTGCTCCAAACTTCGTGGAGACCAGCCCACAAAAGGCTGCAGCTGGAGGTACTACGCCTGCGACTCCGAGTACTGCCGCTATTCAGGCCCTCCTTGGCTCTGCCCAGCTAGCCGTGCTCCAAGCAGCCCTGCAACAACAGCAGCAGCAGTTGCAGCAACAAGCCTTACAGCAAGTCACATCACAGGTTAGACTTCTCTGCCAGTGGAGCAGCTTATGAACAACATTGATTCTTTGACAGTTCTACGTTTCACGTCGAGCACTGCATACCTTAGGCTTACTTTGAAGTAGTGTAGTAGGACTGTACATCAAGCACTGGTAATGTCCGATTTAGTGCATGCCTGCCGTTTGCTGACAACTACGATAGAGAACTGAGGTGGTCCCCTATTCAGTGCATGGCAGTGGAAGTAATACCACTTTGGTCCTGATCTTTGTGCTCCTCTAGGACGGGTGGTCGCCTTGTTGAATTTGTTCAATCATCCGTGATCCATAAAAGTATTGCTGGGCCATGAATAGTCGATGCCCTGCATTTCTTTGCTGTATGTTGCGCATGTGTATCTGTGCATATTGTGTGTGCTTATCGTGCGTGTTCATGTGCATAATGCATGTGTGCGTATGTATGTACTTTGTGTGTATGTGCGTTGTGTTGACAGGTGGTGGCAGGTCCAGGTGCAGAAGTTATCGCTGAGCCGGCCCCTGGTGAACCTTTGATGGAGGAGGTGCAAGAAGTGGAGCTGCAATAAAAATTGACTCTATCTTTTGCTCTCTTTGGTAAGTGCTGTCTTGTGCTCTATCATCACCTGTGCTGTTGCTGCTGGTGGCGGTGCTGGTGGCGATGGCCGTGGTGGTAGCGATGGTCGTGGTGGTAGCGATGGTCGTGGTGGTAGAGATGGTCGTGGTGGTAGCGGTGGTCGTGGTGGTAGCGGTGGTCGTGCCAAAATCGCAAGTCGACCGACACTGTACATATGACGCATGCATGCGATTTTCATCGTCCAGCATAGCAAGCTGTGTTCGTTTCAGAGGGACGGGAGGGGTCTGATTACGAAATGAACGATGTTCGTTTCAGGGACGACAGAACCCCCCCCCCCCTCTCTCTCTCTCTCTCTCTCTCTCTCTCTCTCTCTGTAACTTCTTCTTGTCGCGATGTCCATGGATTCTTGGAGAAAGAGTTTTGTTTTTGAGAAAGTACAGTACGACTTGTACTTGTACATCCGAATGTCTTTAAAAAAGCTTCGAAATGTCGAGGCTACAGCCTTGAGTTAGGAGCGGTTTCGGGTATAGTTTCCAGAAATCGCAAGGAACCCACATTTACCTCGGATGACAAGTTGCGCATGACGTATTGTAGGAATGTCGCCGAGCGCTGGGTCTATGCCTGTTGCACACTCTTGGGGGCTATGAACTCTTGCTGTTACCGGTATGCAGTATGTATACCCGGTACTTCACTATCTTGTCTGTTCTGCTGTGTAATTCCTTCTCAGGTAATCATCTTAAGTCAAGTCATGACAGGAGCACGCTTTTTATTGCTCTCTGCCTGGCTCAATGCGATGGATTTATGGCCTTTCGTTTTCGCTTTCCCGTCTTTCCGCGTCATCTCTCTCGCAAACCGAACTCGAAAAGGTAATGGACAAATCGCTCACAACTCTGGAGTCAAATCAGCGTCTGATGTTGTGCTCGCGGACATCTTCACTGATCACTGGCTCGCGTCTCTATCTCTCTCTCTCTCTCTCTCTCTCTCTCTCTCTCTCTCTCTCTCTCTCTCTCTCTCTCTCTCTCTCTCTCTCTCTCTCTCTCTCTCTCTCTAGTACTCTCTTTCTGTTTTTGTACTTCCATAACTATGACATCAGTGTTGTCCTTTACTCCCCCCCCCCCCTCATTCCTCCCCGTCATTAGCCTAACTGCTACTGTATTATGGAACATGCTAAGCGATACCACAATCTAAATAATCGTCATACTTTGGGGTGCTGTCCGCATGTTTTTCGACCTCTATGAACAGAATGTTATTAGGGCTGGATGAGAAACCAATTTTCCAGCGAATGCATGCCTGTTGCAAAGTTACCCGGGTTCTAGGATTCTTTTCAACTCCCATACAAAAATAGATATTGCACAGCACAGCAGAGCAACAGTACAAGAGCCTCTGTCAAATCACATGCTCACAATATCAACCAATATCAAAGGTCTTTCTCTCTCTTTCTGCTTGTTTAGGTAGTAGCTCTGTCCACCCAGTGTAGTAGTAGTGCATAACCAACCGTTTTTTTTTTACCTCTCTACTTTTTTCCACTTGTCGTCCCCCCACACTTGTTTTCGCTGCGTTTCTACGTGCTGTCATCGTAGGGTTAGGGTAGTGTGCTACAGTCTCTCTATGGAAGTGTGGTGTGTTGTACATACAGTCTCAGTCATAAGTCATGTTGCAAGCAAGGAATCAGTAGCAAAACATGCCAGTGTCGATTCAGCAACGATTGTCCTGAATTCTGTCAACGATGGAGCGTAGAGAATTGTATGTGAGCGACGGGACTTGGTCCCGAGTAGTGAATACAACCATTGAACAATATGGAGCCTGGAGACATGTTTGCAAGTGTGTATGAGTGTGATGGGGCGTGTATGCGTGTGCAGTTCCAATGCTCTTTCTACAAGTAGGTTATGTGACGAAATACTAATATATAGACATGGAGCGGAAAGGATAATGAAAAATAAAACGGAACACATGCCATGGAGAGGATGAACACTACAGTCGCCAGCAAATGTAGTGTGTATGTTCACACCGAGGACGTGTAGCAACAGATCAGAAAATAAACAGTTATGTACATGTTGATATATATACATGTTGGAAGTGCAATTGAACCAAGACAGGACAGCCTTTGGAACAGTTAGTGCAGACAGGTGCGGTGGTGGGGGGTTGGCTTGGCAAGAGCTTGTTCGTTGCGATCATGCCAGGACAAGTCCAGCAGTCATCACAAGCTGTTGATTTTCTCACATGTGCTTGGTGATGCTGCCATCATGCTGGACAAGTACGGCGGCAGTCCTCACAAGTTGTTGATTTCTCCCATGATGTTAACTCTGCGGTCCTTGTAGAGCTGAGAGATCTCGCTTTGCATCTACAAACAGTGTTAACAAGAAGAGAAGAGAGGGTCGGGTTAGACAGTCAAATCTTGTTAGTTTCTTCTATACCTTTCATGGCAGTTAGCTGAAATTTTCAATACAAGATTTCACTGCACATATCGTATGTTCGGTATCAGGGATCAAACAGGTATCAGGTGTAATAGTAGAATTAGGTTACCATCATTCCTTCACATACTGGTACATGTACACTGCAGATGCACCCTTTTTGTAGGTGCCTGGTTTCTCTACCAAAATCAAAGTTTAGTGCGGCACGTTGTTTTCGGTATAACTTTATTTCGGTAACTTCAGCAGAGAAACCAAGCACCTAAATTTAGCTTACTGGTACACCTAAAAGGCACAAGAGTATGCACTGTATGTGAAGGGAATGCCGCTCAACTAATTCTATTAAAGTAGTACACCTGAAACCCGCTAGGTCCCTGGCATCGAAATATTTTTTTTAAATAGTTCTGTCCGCAGATTGAGTATTTTGCTCCTGCTCTTGTAGTAGTTGAGCACTCTCATGTGGGGTAGTGCCTTTGCTGTTTGCATTATGCAGAGCTCGCTGACTTGTCAGTTTGAGCACTCTGGCAAGGTACGCTCGGGCCTGGTTTAAATCTGGCTTTGAAAAATGTATTTTTCATTGCTACCAGGTTCAGCCTCATTTTCTCTGTGCTGCGCTGATGAGTCCACAAAGGACGAAACAGTTCTGTCCGTAGATTGAGTACTAGCAAATAGTTATACTTTGAGCACATGTATAATTATACTACACAAGACCTCCATATTGACGCAATCACATAGCCTTTGTAGATGTACATGACTATGTAGTGATTGGGTAGGGACACGATTCCAGTAAGAACAGTAACAGCAAAGCAACGACACACGTACACTCACCTTGGCCTGCACATCCTTGACATGGGCAATGGCCGAGGCCAGTTTGGGCTCGATATCGCGTTGAGCCTGCAGCAGCTCCTGCTGACGTTCCTGCATGTGTGCAGCTTTGGCACGCATCTTATCCGCCTGCTGGAGAATGCGCTTTAGAGTATCTGCCAGGCGGTCTAGTGCTCTGAACGGTGGCACCCAGAATAGGAAAGAAAAAGAGAAGAAATTAGACATGTACATATCCTCGTCGTTTTCGTAATCTCCCCGACAAACATGAGGGGTCTAGGTTATTCAGTATTTATTCAGTATTTATTGGTCAGCATGGTAGAGTTGTGCTGGAGCTACGACGAGTCACAGAACTCCATTCTATTTCATTATCAGCTTCATGCCAGTGTAGGGGATACGCTGACTCCATTATGATAATTATATAACTTTAAAGTGGTTGCACTGCACATGCGGGATCCTGATAATTCAAACCCCAAAATGCCAGGGAAATCTTCCCACTACTAGTATCCAGACATTAGAGAGGTTCCGGGGTACGATTTTCCGTGCCAAAATCCGTATGGGCGCTACGGAATTTTTCCAGGCGTGCTCCATACGATTTTTCGGCACGAGAATCCGTGTGGACTGGCTTTCATACGAACCATGCTTCGTATGGAGATTTTGCGTCATCGGGTTCAGAACGATTTTTCGCGTACAAATTTGGTACGAGAAACATCGATTTTTCGCGGGAAGTTTTGATTTCGGTACAAATTTTCAAAATAAAAAGGCATAGCGCGGGAATGTGATGTGTTTGCAATGACGGCAAACACATAAGTTCCGTACCCCGGAACTTTTCACTGCTCGAAAACGACGTATAAAAAATCCGTAGAGCCTCCACGGATTTTGGCACGAAAAATCGTACTCCGGAACCTCCCTATTGGAATTATCCAAACATGTACCCACACCATGTGATGTATGCCACAATGCTCGCCTTGCCAAGCAAGAGTTATAGTGAACTTCGAATTACGCCTTGCTAACTTCAAATTATCAGCAGGAGTCCCACGCATACCGTATATTCTCTATTATAAGCACAGGTCTCCATTACTAGCACAGTCTCTAATACTAGCACACTGTGAGCACCTATCGAAACATTATAAGCACAGTCTCTATTATTAGCACGGTCTTGGTGGAAATCAATGCTGCATGCATGATATCTAGCATGTATTTATTCTCGCTCTGTATGGATGCATCGGTTGAAAAAATATAAGCATGGTCTCCAATATAAGCGCGGTCTCCAATATAAGCACGGGAGAGGGGCGTTGAAGAAATATAAGCATGGCGCTTATAATAGAGAATATACGGTATGTAAGCGGATTTCGTGGGACTTCCAAGTACTAGTAAGCGGATATGCCCGCTTCAATGTTAAAATTATCAGACATTGTTATGTGGAATCGGATCGATTGAAATCAGTCCTGAGAGAAACCTCTGCCTGTAACACCTGCTTAGTGTGATGTTGGTTTCTTCTTGCATCTTCCCCACCATCAGATTCAAAAAATACAATAGGGAGGAGAGCGCAGAGCAAGGAGGGACGGCCAAGCATGCGGATATCCAGGCTAGTAAGCTTCTTCATCTGTTTATGTACCAATTCTAACGCTACTTGCACATACTTGCACTGCTGCTCCCCCACTCCCACTTCCCTGCCTGCTCTTGCTGCCAACCCACCCCAATAGAGGTTATGTGAAAGCCTGCATCACATATTTTGTTGAATAGCAAACCAGCGCTTGTGGTGCCACAGCGTTGCTACTATACAAAGTACTTGAAGTATCTCAAATCCATAAACCAACTTCAGCGTAAATCCTTGTGACCTGCGACTGGAGTAAAGGGCCACGCTATGACTGTGTGCAGAAGCAATGGCCAACAAGTACTAGTACCAGTCTTTCAGGTTTCATTCAGCAAAAAAAACCAGAAATCCACGTTGTATTCAGAGATATCTCCAGGACCATATTTCCAAGGATTGATGCCTTTTGCATCGCTAATGTACACGCACATGTACAGCAAACCCTGTGCGAGTGACCACTCTGACAAGGCGACCACCTGTCCCAGAGGACCATTACAACTAGGACCAACGGGCACTTCCACTGAAGTATCTCAAATGATGCCGTAATCGCACAACCTCCAGACAGTACATACTACATAGTCAAAGGTTGATGGCATGAGTTAGGCATGCACCACATACCGAGGAGAGGAGCAGATCTTGATGAGGTGCTGTGTTCTCTCGTCATGCCATACCAGCAGCAAGCCCTGCACGCCAGTCAGCATGCGTGTGACACTCTGCTCAGATTGCACTTGCAAGAACAGTGGAGCTGACTGAAACTGCACAATCCACAAACACACAAATTCAGACAAACATATTTTAAAAATACAGTACAGTCAACTTCGCTTATAACCACACTCGGTGGGGCATCCGAAAAGTGTCCTTATTCGCGAAGTGTCGTTATACCCGAAGTCTCATTATATGTGTCACAGTTGGGTGGGACTTTGCTCTGGGCATGAAAATTATGTCGTTATTCGCGAATTGTCGTTATATCCGCAGTCGTTATTAGCGAAGTTGACTGTACACACTTGCGTAAAGATGCACACATGTACAGTCCGATGAACACATGTACTGTTTAGATGCACACACCACTACCATAGAAATGAATGCCCCTGCAATGATATGAGAACATACATGTACATGAATACAGTCAGACCTCGCTTATCCGGTCCTCTTTTATCCGGATACCTCGCCATCCGGAAGAAAATCACTGGTTACGGATTTACAGCATATGCCATGCATACATACAGTGTGTGTGTTCGATTATCCGGTTCCCTCGCCTATCCGGATATTTTTGTGGAAAACGGATGTGTGCGGTTAAGCGAGGTCTGACTGTATACCCGGTCTGCTGCTCTGGTAACCAACAGCATTGTCCAGGGTTTTCTTTGGGCATTAGAACTCTCTTAGAAGGCCAACCATACAGTTCAAATGCAGCAGAGTAACAATATCCACTATATTGTAGGGGCACTACAAGACCAAAGCCAATATGAAAATGCACAAATGGCCTTACCATCGTAACGGACAAGATATCTGTTACATTGTTTGCCAGCTCGGCTTTCCGCTGAAGAAGAAACGCCTCGAGCTGTGGATTGCATGAATGGAAGATACAGCAGAGAGAGAGAGAGAGAGAGAGAGAGAGAGAGAGAGAGAGAGAGAGAGAGAGAGAGAGAGAGAGAGAGAGAGAGAGAGAGAGAGAGAGAGAGAGAGAGAGAGAGATTATTCCAGGCCAAAACGCAATACCATGTACATGTATAGGTGCCACATGCACCTCTCATAACATCTCCAGCGAAGAACACAAAGGTGTGATAGCCGGATGACACATACATGTACATGTACCTAGCACACAGACATACGGTGAAAGCAGTTTCTTACCTCCTTTAGCTCGTTTACGAACAGGTCGCGAGTCCGCGAGCAAGCCAAAACAGTGAGTGCATCTTCTCCTGTAGCTGTGTGTACACCTGGGAAAGCGAGATAGTGAAAGCAGTACGTCCTGTTAGCCTACTAGTATCCATTACAGAGAAGATGACACTAATGTCGGTACTCACTGTCCTACTGAACTCTCCTGGACACGCTGTTCATACAGTAAGTCCATATATACCAGAATGGTAACCGTTGGCAACTAGCATGGTAACCGTTAGCAACTAGCATGACATCATCGTATTCATGCATACACTGCAAAGCAGTCAACAAGCACCTTCATTGGCAAGCGACCACCCACGCCGAAAATACACAATCATCTCCTGTACACCGACAGGATTCATATTTGTAGATGTATTTATTACATTACACGCGTGCCTGCTAGTCCTCAGGCTGCGTCAAGTGCTCAATTAGCGGTGGACAGAGCAAGCAATACTGTAAAGTACTGACACAAAACTAAAGTAATAGCAAAGAAACTTGGTTGTACTGCTGCTGCTGTGTATCTGTCACTACCGTAATTACTATTTATTACAAGTCATTTCATTGCACAGAGAATATAGTGCTCATTTTTAATGTGCTCTTCTTCAACACAAACTCCACTGCATGCTAGGCCCGGTACGATGAGATTGTTCCCATGTGTACATGTAGGCACACGTATGTTATGTATAGTGTGGGCTCATTCCTCACAAGAACATTCCATCCACATGTGCCACGGGTCGGTGCTTAGCGGCAATTTTAGCAAAACACTCACCCACTCAAAAAAGTACAAACAGTGAACATTGAATGTTTCCAGGGTATGCAATGCATTGCTCCCTTGCCTCGGCTTGCTTGGACAGTCTGTCTGCTCAGAGTCAAAGTGATCTGCCTTAGTGCAAAGCTCGCTGTGTTTCTCGCAGTGAAAGCACTCTGACTTTGGAGCTCTGTACCGATTTAAAAAAGGAGCTGTTGTTCACACGCCCTAATTGCAATGGGTTAGACCAAGAGTCCATAACCCCCCAGAGTGTGCAACTCCAGGTTGGGGTCTGGCGCAACGAAATCCAAACATTGCGTCATCCGGTCCCCGGGCAAGCATGGGCGGATGGGGCCATGTGCATATCTGGTACATCCGGCGGGGGTTCCAAGTAATTAGTTGAAGCAAGCGCCACGGAAGTGTCACGTAAAACGTTTGCTCCACGGGCTATGCAGTGTCAGCAGAACGGCTTTGATTTCACAGTCACAGAATTTTTTTATTTGAAGAGAGTTTCTCTGCTCGTTGTCTGAAAAGCTTGTATTGGGAGAGTTCGTGACTCCGGGATAGCAAGAATAGGCATGGATATAGATTTACAAGATTTGATGGAAATAGCTCTTGGCACACGGCATGAAGACCCGATCGATTTCGAAGTAGATGTGCTTCAACCTGCTCCTCAGTCCCATTTTGGTACAATTTCCAACACTCGACAATCGAGAGAAGAAAATGAGGAGCCCAGATCGAGCAAAAATTGACGAATATCGTCCACAGAGACACTGCACTCCGGCGACAATGGGGAGCGCTTTGCTTTAGGTTCAACAGTGGCCATTGTTCTTCTCTTATCGGAGAGACACTCAAAAGAGAAAACTGTTCGACAACTCTAAAATAATTCTTTGTGTACTTGAGCCTTTCAGGCGTGTTACGTGGCCGTGGATTCGTAAAGAAAGACCCCAAATTGGGCAAACGGGCGAAGTAGGTCCGGGCCAAACTTCCCATTTCGTCATAGCTACTCACTACATGACGTATGAAGTTTGGATTTCGTTGCGGCACTGATTTGTGCTGAGAAGGATCAAGAGTTGCACACTCTGGGGGGTTACGGACTCTTGGTTAGACCAGTGACTCCATGAGCTCGGCTGATGGGACCTAACAAGGGGTCGAAACAGCTGGCCATAGATCGAGCAATGCAATGGACATGAGCTGCAGCATAGCCAGGTGCTGAGTAGCAAGTGTTAGCTTGTGGTAGATATTCACAATCCTGATGGTTCACTAATGTGTATGATGTGTACCGCTACAAAGGAACACAGACACACACACTCACCTTGCTCATTTTCTGTGCCGGAGTCCTCAATCACAATGTCAAAGTTGATCTCAGCTCCAGATTCTGACGCACCGTTCACATCCGCTGATGGAACATCGTCAACGACAAGATCACCAAAATCGATTTCACCCAGGTCTGTCTGGCCCGAAGGGGATTCCCCAAAGTCGATTGCATCCATATTGAAGCCTTCGCCGAAATCGATCTCCCCATCGGCAGTTGCTACTGGTGCTGCTGCAGCAGCTGTAGCTGCTCCATTGGTGTCACCATCACCAAAGTCAATACCAGTGTCATCGCTTGCTGACGCAGATGTGGCTGTCGGTGCTGCTTCCGCTTTATTAAGCTCAGCCAGTCGTCTTGCCAGCCAGTTGTCTTCTTCTACAATCTACACGTGGAGCACAAGAAACCAAGCCAAATATGAACACTCTGCAGCATCGGTCACAGATTAGCACTTGTGCACAACCATGTTCTCCTTTACTAACACCAATCCGATGTATTCGTGTTAGCGTGTTGATACATTCCGCGTTGCGTGTCACCAATTCTAGTTAATGTCAATCAGTTTCTTCATTTCTTTCAAGTCGAGTGCTGGACTACAGCTCAATGGTTTCAACTGGGCACAAGAGTAAGGTATGAGTGATTGGCCACACGTCTCACAAATACTCTCTTTTTCAGATGTAGTGATGCAGGTGGTCTTGCCAGTGTTTTACACATGCTAGTGCTACACACAGGTCGTGGGTATAGTACCGTACGTATGATTTATAATGCAATGGCAGTACCAGGCGTGGGCCATCACCTGGATTATCAAAATGGGTGCCTTATAATTTTTCTGTTGTTTTTACACTTCTTCGTACTTTGTAATAAAAGTCTCATCACACCAAAAAAAAACAAAAAAAACAGTACCGTACATACACCACAGCACAACCAACCTGTGGCACTTGTCCTGTCCGCCACTGGTACAGCGTCGTGTTGCCGTTGCGCTGGATATGTCGAAGTAAAGGGCACGTCTCCGTCGGGCAATACGTACCTTTAGATTGCCTAGCAGGGAGCAAGCAGGAAGAAGATATTAATTTAGTCAAGTTACAACTGTAAGCAATGACAACTTTTCCGACAGATCACATACAATAGCTAGACGATGCAAACACGAATACCGTAAAGTACCGTTGATCCGCCCCCTGTTGAGTTTCTGCCTCTGAAGCGACTTCGGCATATACAACGAAATACGATGTTGAACCGACGCATGCACTGCTGTACACAATTTGTGCCAATCCAGGATGAAAATGTGCACAATCCAGCACATCGAGTCTCATCCCCCAAGTTGTTGTACATCGTACTGCACTTGACAGCATTGATCTAATTCCCGCCCCCTGCCAAAAACCAGCTGGGAAGCGACTTGGCGTGGGGGGGGGGGGGGGGGGGATCAACGGTACTTCACGGTACTAGTAGATCAACCAGCAGTCATGATGATGGAAGAACATAATGTTCTGTTGATAAATTCAAACATGCAGTAATGTTGCAGCAAAAACTACGTCACTCTCCAAGGTGTTTTGAATTCAGTGGCATCACCAGCATTGCGCTACGACTAGATACAAAGCATGCTGTTGTCCATAGAATAACCTATATTCAGGCATGTGTGCACATTGTGTGCATTTCAGATTACAATCTAATGTATTAAAGGTACTATATACTTCTTCTTTCTTATCTCCTTCTTTTGCCATGGCTGGCTAACACCCCCTCTTCGTATTGGCCTTTGCCATTGGACAGTGGCCTTTGCCATTGGACAGTGGCCTTTGTCATTGGACAGTGGCCTTTGCCATTGGACAGTGGCCTTTGCCATTGGACAGTGGCCTTTGCCATTGGACAGTGGCCTTTGCCATTGGACAGTGGCCTTTGCCATTGGACAGTGGCCTTTGCCATTGGACAGTGGCCTTTGCCATTGGACAGTGGCCTTTGCCATTGGACAGTGGCCTTTGCCATTGGACAGTGGCCTTTGCCATTGGACAGTGGCCTTTGCCATTGGACAGTGGCCTTTGCCATTGGACAGTGGCCTTTGCCATTGGACAGTGGCCTTTGCCATTGGACAGTGGCCTTTGCCATTGGACAGTGGCCTTTGCCATTGGACAGTGAAATAAAATAAAATAAAATAAATACAAGTAGGATTCACATCGCACAAAGAATGAGGCCAGGGCAACAAGACATCGCACAAAGAATGAGGCCAGGGCAACAAGACATCGCACAAAGAATGAGGCCAGGGCAACAAGACATCGTACAAACTATCAGACCATCACTGGCATGGCTTACTGAGAAAGGAGGAAGTCCACGGCAGCCTGATAGTACTCGCATGCTTCAGCCAAACTTTCCACACCTTCGCTGAACTTCTTGTAGATCTGCGGCAGGTCTTTGACTTGATGTAAGAGCTCTAGCTTGATGTTTTTACCCTTGAGAAGCACACAGACATATAGACATAGACACACATGTGAATCTGTGCCGGTCATACGAGACGGCAGAGGGAACAGCCCAGTGTCCATAACGTTAGTATGGTCGCTGATATGTGACTTTGTGGCCAGAGCAATGCTCCGCGCCTGTCTCTGGTAACGGAGGATGCTGCAGACCCAATAGTTGCCTCAGCAGCAATCTTGCAGGGAGGAGAATAGTGATGTGTTGCACCGTTCCACATTGCAAACGGGAGTGCTAGTTTGAGAGAGGGAGAGAGGAAGAGAGAGGAAGAGAGAGAGAGAGAGAGAGCGGGAGAGAGAGAGAGAGAGAGAGAGAGCGCGGGAGAGAGAGAGAGAGAGAGAGAGAGAGAGAGAGAGAGAGAGAGAGAGAGAGAGAGAGAGAGAGAGAGAGAGAGAGAGAGAGAGAGAGAGAGAGAGAGAGAGAGAGAGATGGACTCGTAGAGCTAAGGGTACAAGTGTAAAATCACTAAAATGACAGCAATGCAGATGTTACAGGGACATGTGTATCAGTATGACCAGATGTGCATATACCTCAATGTTCATTTTCTTGCACTCCTGAGCAAAACGCTGTTGGTGCTGAGAAGCAGTTCCATTGTATTCGGATTGCTTTCGTTCAGAGTCCTGTGTAGCAGCACAGCAAGACAAACGCCCAAGCTCAACATCATAACACAGACCTGGCAGAAACACGGTGCTACATAGGTTACACACTGCACACAAACAGTGCAATACAATGGATGCACGGCAACCACGCATATCCACTACAGTGTACTAGTATGTCACTTCAAGCCTGGCAGTCAGGACTGCCCGCACACACCTATCCCGCACAAGAACAAACACTTTTTACAGCAGGAAACTAACGGTGAAGCTACTTCATTCGAAGTACACATCAGCGATGCAATTACATGTACATGTACAGTTGAACATCGATTATCCGCACATCGACTATCCGACCATTCGATTATCCGTAACGGTTTTTTTGGGCGCACGTGCCGTAGAGTACGCACTGTGCATGTAGTGAGCCATTCAAAAAATACGAAAATTTTGAAAAGTAGCACTCTATTCTATTTACAATGTACATGTACATGTATTTACAGTGTGTTTTCTTATCCGGAACATTTGCCTTATCTGAACACCGCCTGACAGTTGTCTGCCCAGAGGTGGTCGGATAATCGATGTTCAACTGTACTTGGTGACTGTTCTCACAGCCAGACCAATATACCGAAGATTTGCCCCACATTGGTACAAGGAGTATCCTCACATGGTTTTCGGAATACAGTGAGAGAACATGTGTTACGGCCCCGCTCCAAACACCTGTCTTAGCTCTCATCGAACGTCCAAAAAGCCATGGCATGAGTTTTGCATGTGCACGTGCACGCACGCACGCGCACACGCACACAAAACACACACACAAAACACACACCCACACACACACACAACTGTCTGCACCCTGACACATACCCTGGCCTGTTGCTGAGCACGCTTGATCTGCTGCTTCATTGCTGGTATCTCAAAGGTGACATTACGGATCAAAGCTTGAGCGGACTCCGCTGCGGGCAAGAAACAAAACAATGGAATGATGCATACATCCAAAGGGAAACAAACAAGAAGACCATACAAGTACACATAGTATCCAATACACCACACCACCTTGAGCGCAATGTGGTGGTGTGGTGTATTGGATTCCATAATGGCCGGGTCGTCGCTACTTCTTCTCAAGTACACATAGTACTCAGAGTAAGATCCATGCTACACACCACTGCACCACTAGTCTGCATTGAAACCATCATGGTTCACGTGAGACTGAGTTTTCCGTGTCCATAGGAACGCCACCACCCTGCAAAGATCAAAGGCGCAGATGCAGCCCTAACACAGAATGGGATTTCAGGTTTTCGACTGCCTTGAAAACCCCCAGAGAGAAACAAGACGCCAACTGAAGTCTTGTTCCACGTTGGGAGAAGTGAGCAGGAACTCGCAGCACTGTAGACTGTGTAGAGTAGTTAAGAGGGCACAGTGACGGTGTGACAGTGCGACTCAAATCAGTCAACTGTTATATGTTACAAACCCAGCAGCACTACAGGTCACCAATGCTAGCAGCTTATGGCGCTAGATTAGCAGCATTACAGCCGTGTGTAAAGGACACATAGGATAGTACAGTTGCGCTCGCTGAAATGCGACCCAAAGTGCAAAGCTGGCGCCCGGCACTAGTTCGGATTACATCATCGTATTTGCACATGTGTACGTCCAGCCGCATTCGTGCCACTTCCAGGGCGTCAAGGGCCGTGCAAGTTGAGGGCGCCAGATATGCACTCTGGGTCGGATTTCACCGAGCACAACTGTACATACACCGTGATGGCACTTGGCCAAAGTGAGATCCTTCACTGCATGAGAGCATTTGGCTTGGATGGAAAGACATGTATCAGCTAATACGGTACATGTACTGGGGCCACAGTGTGCTCCTCTCACCTAGGTACACCTTCTTATCTTCATAGCGATTCACAATGTCAACCCAGTCCTGCAAAGAACCAGGAGCAGAAAATACACAGGAAAAGCAGTGAACATCGTCACTACAGCACACATTGCGGCAGTACCACACCTTGACCTCCCCTGACCATATCAGGGCAAGCTATTTTACCTTGGTTCGGCCATAGCCTATGTTATCTTGTCACGATGTGCATTATTATCTCAGCCGAGTGTGATTTCACCACTGAAGAAGCATGTTGATAGCTGAAAAGTTGGTGGGACAAGGGCCTGATCAACCTGACCGATTAGTATTAGCCCCGGCCTAGAGCGACTACAGCGACGGTAGGTCAATGAAAGCAGTATGAGGTATGGTTGCTGACACCAGATGACAGCACACCTATTACAAAACATAGGTAAATCCTCTCTGGCTAGTAGAAGATGAAAAAATCCACACCCACCCACACAGGCAAGCAGACACGCGCCCCCCCCCCCCCCCACACACACCACACACACAGACATAAAAGAGGATAAATATTTACCTTCATTCGCTGTGAAGAGTACATGCCAAACAGATTCTTTGTATCAGCCTCTGACACTTTGAGCAGCTCAACAATCCGTTTGCAATGGAAGTAGTCAATAGCTACAACAGGATCAACACAACAGTAAAGAACGCTGACATCAAAAGTAAAACTGCACCCTGTAAAATAAATGCACAACAAAGACATACATTCCCTTCTAAAACAGTAAACATCGAAGATATCGCCAGTCACTGGTGCACACACACACACACACACATACACATACACACACACACACACACACACACACACACACACCTTGACCTTTGACGCCCTATCTCCAGTGGAGATGATAGGCTACTGAGTTGGGCAGTACTTGATGTGACGCTTCAAATCGCCACTTCTCCTAAACGCTCTGCCGCATGCGCAATGAAAGTCCTTCGGTGCCGGGGGAGGAAGACGATGTTGATGGACCCGCCTGCGCCATTCCGGGCGATCTTGTGCGAGCCGATACCACTCGAACTCCGGAATATTCAGCGAGCGCAGATCACCGACAATCGTGTCCTGCCAACGCTTCTTTGACCCATGCCGTGGTCTGGTTGCCTCGAGCTCCCCAAACAACACTTCTTGAGGAATCCGGGCCGCGTCCATACGGGCAACATGACCCAGCCGACGCAGACGGTACTCACGCAGGAGAGTGCCAATGTCCTGTGGAAGACGCGTTCTCTGGGCTGGATCAGCAGTAGTAAGATGACGGGAGTGCTGATCGCTCCTTGAGACTCCCAAGATGGAACGGACACATGAGCGATGAAACAGATTCAGGCAGACACAGACACCACACACACACACACACATACACACACACACACACACACATACACACATGCACACACACACACACGCGCACACACACACACACACACACACACACACACACAATGCAGAGATGACTAACATGACGAGCGAATGAGTTTGGTGATCTCTTCTTCGTCGGGCATGTCCTGAACTGCCGTATCAATGCGAGTGCGTATCTCCTGGTGGGCGACGGGCCATTTCACCGTGCAGTGACGCCGATCAATTAGCCAGTCTGACAAAACAGCACACACACACACACACATACGCACACACGTGCGCGTGAGCACACACCCATACACATGCACGCACAGGAAGAACACATCAACATCAACATAATACCGTTGACACACCAGATCATCGACACAAATGACCAGGACATGTACAACATCAAAGAATCACCACGGGAAGGGAAGGCACGAGCAAGCCAAGTGACACGTTTCACACGCTGAATAGAAAAAAACCCAAAAGGAGTCAAGATGTAAGCTATGAGTGTACAACGTCTCATGTCATACACCTGCTGCCATCCACAGTAACACTCCATGCTGGTTGTGTATACGTCTGTGCATGAGTACAGCTATGTAACACTTCACGCCGGCTGTGTATAAGTCAGTGATGAGTACAGTATACAGCTATGAACCACTTCAGACTGGTCGTGTATAAGTCTGTGCATGAGTGCAGTTTACTTCAGCTATGACATGCATAGCAGCACTCAGTGTGTTCCGATAGTGGAGAGCTCACCAAGAAGTTTATCATAGTGGATATCTATGGGCAATAGCTGCATGGATTTGCTTCCTTGTGTGCTCTACAGTTGCAGCATAGACACACAGACATACAGACACAGATATTACACACACATGCACACACACACACACACACACACACACACACACACACACACACACACACACACACACACACACACACACACACACACACACACACACACACACACACACACACACACACACACACACACACACACACACACACACACACACACACACACACACACACACACACACACACACACACACACACACACACACACACACACACACACACACACACACACACACACACACACACACACACACACACACACACACACACACACACACACACACACACACACACACACACACACACACACACACACACACACACACACACACACACACACACACACACACACACACACACACACACACACACACACACACACACACACACACACACACACACACACAAGCACACATCAAAGAACAGAATCAAGATGACACAAAACTTGAGCACAATTGTTTGCACACAGACCTGAGGTAGGCCAATCCTGTCTGGTCACTGTGGTCAGTGTGGTCAGTGTGGTCACTGTGGTCCCTGTGGTCTGTGTACCTAATGCATGTACTCAAGAAAACTAGTTTAAAGTACCCTACAGTGTATCAAAACGAGGTACACAGTCACTCATACCTCGGTTATCCGGACCCCGAAGTTACGGGCACTTCGGTCTACCGGGCACTATTTGGGCGAGTTTCAGGGGAAATATTGCTACTCTTTTGTCACTTTTCGTAGAAATATTGACGTCATATGCCATATTGATGGCCTTTTCCCCATCAAGATGTATATGATTCGGAGTTACGGACATTTCAAAGTTACGGGCAGTGCAAGGTCCCGGACTGCCCGGATAAACGAGGTATGAGTGTATCCGCTTGTTGCATCTGCTTTTCCCATTCCAATGGTACATTCACTATGCTTCCGCATCATAATTATAGATACTGTAATGTCACATATAAAGGCATGACCCATATATGTAGAAGCAGGACTCGAACAGAATCCAATTTTTCAAAGCGCGCCATGAGACAGAAGCACTATTTGAATAGAAGCCTTGCACAGTACAATGTTCATGCGTAACAGTGCACCCCTGTGCACTGTACCAGTAGACTGTAGTCCACAGTGCAGGAATGCATCACTGCATGCAAGGTGCAGGGATGCATCACCGCATGCAAGGTGCAAAGCGTGCACTACGTAGAAACATGTTTTGAAATACACAATCATGTAGAAGCATAACTTGAATAGAAACGTGGTTTGAACTCCGGATTGAGGGGGGGGGGGGGGGGGGGAGGGGGTTAGCACATGCTTTTACACTCGACACATCACGATATAATTAATTTTCATATAAATCTGTTTGACTCAAGCTCAGTGCTGGTAGGTTACAAGATCAATGAAAAAATCTTTCCGTTCCACACTGATGAGTTTATAAAGGATGAAATTAAAATGTACTTTCCACTGAGAGGGAGTATTTGTGCATGCTGGCAATAATCACGAAGCCAGTTCAGTCGAGAAACCTGCTGCTGACGAGGAACAAAAGCGTTCTCTTCAGCACGTCGGGTGGTAACTTATGTTAACAAATACAAGGGATGCCTAATGCTACTCATCTTCGTTTTTCAACACATCTACAAAGTACTTTGCATGAACAATAGTACATGTATTATAATAATTAATATTATTATTATGTACTACATGTAGTACCAGACAGTAAACAATGAAATCGGAATTTTCGTTACACTAACCTGCATATTGGAAGATGGGCATTGGTCTCTCGATGAACTCAAACAACCAACGTACTAGTACGTTCAGGGAACAAAAGGACTGCAGAATCTCCCTGCTCGGTCCCTGCTAAAATACTGTCTTGTTGCTGGTTTTGAGTTTATGCCATGCACTTGTTCAGTCATACAAAACAAAGTCAGATAGTCTTATCTGCAGGCCGGATTCAGCTCAGCTAGATCAGATCAGGCGGACAATCATACAACTCGTGAAACCCTGTAAAAAACATGTGGCACGTCAGCGAATGACGTCACATTGACGTGCCGCCTTACCAGGAAAGGTTTATTACGTCATGACCATGCAATCAGTCAATCACGCGGCACGCGCGGCGCGCGCACAAGTCGCGCAGTCGCGCACTTGGCCGACTAGTCGTCGACTCCGACGCGGCTACAATCATATCCGGAAAAGTTTATTTCTCTCTTACTCTTAGATTTTTTGTTTCTTTCTTTCTACTCCTCAGCTTGGATCATGTAGATAAGATAGTGACTAGTTGTACTTGATGTAGGAGGCAATAGTACTTAGTAGGCTGCTAGTCCATAAATATAGTATACAGGGCAACACAATTACTCATTTACTGTAATGGTAATGAAACGCTCTTGTCTTGCCTCTTGCAGCTTGGTCGCTAGACGCAAGCTGAGCCTCGAACACGATCATGAATTGACAGTATCCATCCGCTAGAAACTGGTCTAAACCAGTCGGCGGCGACCCGTGACTCCAGTGTCCCGTGTCTCAGCTCTTTTGATTTCGCAACAGGACTCGTACGAGCTCGTAGTCTTCCAGGTGGTCGACCGCCCTGGCCCAGCGTCCATCGCTCCAACGGACTGTCTCGCTGCGAACCACCGCTTGCCCGCCGTTCCTTAGTCAATACAGGGGGTGCAGCTCGCTACACAATGGACCAATTATTAGACGAACTGGGTGGTGGCGACTTCAAGTTTGGCAGTGGTGTTGCGATGCCTGTGGATGGTCAGTTAGACCTGAGTGCGCTGGGAGCGGACCCGACTGGGGGCATGGGAGCATACGGGTGAGGCCGTAATCTGTGTGTTTGATCAGACATGCACAGTGCAGTGCAGTTCAATGTAAATATTGCCAATGGGTTATTATTTAAACAAACGGCGAGGAAACAATAATTTTGATAACCGCAATCAATAAGACAAGCTGAACCGACATTTGTGTATACTTTATTCAAAACGATAGAAATGTCGATTCAGCTTGTCTTTAATAGGGTGCGTTTGGTTGGTACGACCTAGAACAGGATGCACCAGATCAGCGCGTTTGGTTGGGATTGCACCTGTTCTGGGTTGGCCAGAACATGTTCTTCTTGCTGACCAAGCAGTTTCACTTTTTCGCAGTGAAACCTGGCGGGAACAGCGATTTTGGTCCCAAATGATCACATCCATACGCTTTTGGGTTGGACTCGTTGTACCGCACAAAGTGACCATGGTGACCCGTACACATTTTAAGAATGCACCAAGTTTGACACATTTTTTTCACAACAATGCCGTGCTCTGTTTGCGGAGTACCATTTGGTTGACATGAGGCTGCACCATGTGCACCAGCTGTTCGATCCTGTTCTAGATCGTACCAACCAAACACACCCTTATTGATTGCAGTTAAAAATGGGTTATACATGTAATATCAAACTATTCAGTATACCGTATTATCTCTAATATAAGCACGGTCCTTTATTTTTTCAATGTACCTCCGCCCCGTGCTATTAAGGTGGCCCTAAGCCTTCCGGCATATTGCGGAACTAAAATTAACGTAACACGTCGGTACCGTGGCAGAATCACTTCAAATTTTCTGTGAAGGTTACAAAGAGATGGAGGGTGCCCTTCAACTAAAAAAAGAGATCATAAATGATCCAGAAAAATCTATTTGAAAAAATCGCGCAAATTTAACGCATGAGCAACTCTTAACCAGAATTCAAAGAAGTATACAACTAACAGACTGCAAAAGAGATATTTACAATGTTCTATATACCAATAACAGTGCATTGAATTACAGGAGTTTGACGAGGACATCAAAATGATGCTTGTATTCAGGGTATGGTTACAAGTGCCCGTATTCGTTCTAAAAACGCCCATTAGAAAACCTATGACGCTGCGCATATACTTCCAGTAACCAGAACAAAAGTTAATTCAATGCATAGCTAATGCAATACAGAATCCAAAAATATATACTTTGTGGGGTCTACTAATAAGCCGTGACAACACCAGTAGCTTGGTTAGGAGTTCCGTTCTCACCCGAAAAATGGAAGAAAAAGCACACTTTTCGGTGTCCGGAACACTAATCTCAACATAGAGTACATACTTTAGAATCTGCCTGCCTCGTACGTGACACCTGCATCATCCAATGTGTCTTTCTGTATACCCTGTCGTACTCTTCTTCGCTTCTTCCTTCTGCTCTTCGCCCCAATGGATCTCTTTCTCTCTGCATCCTTCTGCCTTTCCTCATCAAGCTGGGCTAGTGCTGCTGCAGTGAATTCACCCTCCGGCAAGCCCATTGCCGTCATTAGCCGGCCGAGAGCGGATGAACCATCATTGAAGGTGCAAACTGCAAGTGCAACTGTACGCTCCACCACCTTGGCAGAGCAGAAGCCTGTTTTGGGACACATCTGCCACACCAGTCCGTTAAAGCTTTCATTCCTGTTCTGCCTGGCTTCACGTAAACACCTTTCCAGGAGACTACGCTCAGTGAGGCGCAAGTAGATAGGCTTGATCACTTTGAAAATGGCGTCTGGTATAGCATCATTCACGGGAGTATATCTCTCCGGACCACACTAGCTGCTCCTGCTGCCACTTGCACCAGCTCTCAGTTCCAGTTGGACAGAAGTGGTGCTGAGGTTTGTAAACAGCCGGTGGTTTCTTCTTTTCGTTCGTCTTCATCTGCTGCCAAAAACAAATCATCATTCTGAGCTACGCTTGCAGCTGGGGGTGGTGGCTCTGGCTATTTTGCGATGGTATCGGCGCTTCTTTGGGCGTCCAGGACGCCCCTTGAACTGTTTCCTCCCCAACCTGGCACTGGATGGCATGCTATCGCCTGTGCGAATACGCGCTAGCGCTCACGACGCTAAACAAACTCTTTTTTTTCAGACAATACGCATATTCAATTTTTTAGACAATTATTAGGCCGTTGCGTAGGAACAAGAGTACATAACCCCCCAGAGTGTGCAACTCCCACATACCCTGCTGTCCTGACAGAATTTCAAGTTGACGTCATTATTTATGACGCAATGCTCCTTGCACCAGTGATTTACAACATGTGTACGGGTGTCAACGCATCACACGTTTTTCTTTCCAATAATTTGTACAGGATCGATCGGCTTCGGTCAACCACAGGTTCCGGATTCGTCTGATAATCCGTGTACAGTGCGCATTGCATCATCAAAATGACGTCAACTTGAAATTCTGTCGGGACAGCACCCATAGTGGAGTTGCACACTCTGGGGGGTTATGTACTCTTGGTAGGAATCACATGATCTCGGGTCATCGAAGCAAGACTGATCACGATCGAGACCTGACAGCTGGGCCATGAAAGAACTCGGAAACTTCACCAAATTTGAAAGAATTACCTTGAACCTGTTGGATTTTTGGTGACGTTCCTTTATTGGAGACTGTTCCATTATTGTTTCAACCTCATTTCAGAGGCATGTTGCCATGCCAAATTTATGTCATACACACACATTTCAGGGATTTTTTCGCGGGTACAGATAATGAATTTACACAGTGTTGGCTTATAATGGAGACTGAGCACTTTATTTTTTGAATGCCGTCCCAAGGTGTTCTATTATTGGAGACGTGCTATTATTGGAGACTGTGCTTATAATAGAGACAATACGGTAGTTTTTATAATCGTTCAAAACTGTTTTATGTATAATGTTTTACCTCCAAGTTACTTCCATGCACAATGCACATACATGTTATTGTTAGAAATGATAGTGTACTCAGTAGTGGGTGGGTGTGGGAGGTCATGCTCCCCCCCCCCCCCTCCCTCTGCCTTGGCTTCCTGACACCAAACATGGCCCAAACCAACGGTGCCATTTGTTGGCATGTATAAGTCTGCCCAGCCCCAAGCCTTCAAGTCTGAGCCAGGGAGCGAAACCCATACTAGTATTGCTTAGCCGCGGTTCAAGTACAGTCACCATGGTCACCCGGCCTAGCCGAGCATGAGCTTGCCAAGTAAGTAGTTGGCCCAGTGGTGAATCATCGATGAGTCCATCCAGTCTGATCCAGATAGACTGGCGACGGTTACTTTCAGGCACGGATGTCAACCATGGTGGAGGTGTGGCAAGGGAGATTGTGCAGGCGGTTGGTCATACATGACTGCACTGAAGGCAGTGTGACCGCTGCTACCGGCTCACCACGGGAGTAATACTAGCAAGCAAGAGTAAATCACTCCTTAGGTTATGGACTCTTGGTAGTACAGTACAGTGTTGCAGCAGTGTTAAACTCATTTTAACCTCATCCCCTGACTCACTTGTGAGGTCTGCATTCGACACTGAGGATATATGGGCGAAGTGGTGGCCCGCCGATGCGAATGTATTTGCTTGATGTGTTCGTAAACACGTCAGGTGATGCGGCCGCGAATCCGGCTAACTTTACTTTTTTTTTCATTTACCACCAGGGATCTGCTTTCATTGCCAATGTTCAAGATGGAAAGTCTGGGATTCGGTGAAGTAGATAACGGGTACGTCCAGTTTTCAATGCATTTGTATCTAGTTGTACTAATGTTTGCTCAAGGTTGCTTTGGAACGTGTGGATACGCATCTGCGTGCATACCACTTGATTCAAGACAGTATGATTTGCCCTTCTCTGTAAAATACTCTAGTCTACACAGAATTATGTGGATCGATCGCTCTCCCCGGCGGGCGGAAGCTACCATGCCCGTCGCTCCGAATGTACACAATGTCATACTGCTTCCTTGCCAGTCGAGGAGAGTGACGACTCCTCAGTCAGTATGTGTTACATCATGTGATGACAAGGATTGGGGTGGACACCAAGTGGTAAACAGCTTGGTTGATAGCCTATTTCTCTGTCGGTTGGAAACACGTACTACTAGTATTCAACATGTTGCTTTTCACTTGGCTTAGCTTCCTGTGATTAATTATACCCGCTGTATGTGATAATGCGAACAAAAAGGACACACTTCAGGCTCTTTAAGACCATCTTGAACCTGTGTATGTGCTGGGATACTGCATTCTAGACCACGGTACTTGCTGCTTGCGCAGACGTCCCCGCTGACCAAGATGTCGGACGTCTCTGTCACTTATCTCAACAAAGGTATTGTTCGGCATTCCTTGCATTGGTGCAGTTTCTCAGAAGAGTGATCGGCACGGCACGCTGATGCCACTAGATGTTGCTAGACTAGGTCAAGTAATTCCAATGCTGTCACGCTAGACACACTAGCTGATCCAGAGTCAGGTGTATCTATGACAACGCCGCCGGGGCAGTCTGCGGCGTGAATTTCAGACCCATGAAAACTTGTCATGGCAACCGCCTGTTTTAATGGAGCCCTGCGGTGCAGACTTATGTAGTGGGGGGGGGGGGTGGGGGTGTGCTGTCGAGTTGAATAGCCGTTGATCAGAGAATCAAGTATACTAGGATATCTGGTTTAGTGGTCCGACTTTGAGACATCATTTTCGGTGTGTTTCACTTATGGTGCTGTGCTAGCTGGTCCTGGAAGTGCTAGAGAATGTCACCAGAGCAGGTATTGATTGACTGATTGATTTCCATATCTGCAGGTCAAGTGTACGAGTTAACGCTGGAAGCCTTGGGAAACTGTCAAAGCTACAGAAGTGGATTGATTCGGGTGCGTGCTTCATTTGTGCATATCGTGTACTTGTACTGGTATTCACAGTGTCGTCACTGTCATAGTCTCTGCTGTATGCCAACAGAAGCAGCAGTACATGCCGGTGCCACACACCTCACTGATGGACAAATGCATGCTGCACACTCACATGCAGAAAGCGAGAGTTCCCTGCACCTTTCTTTTGCCGGGGAAGCATTCTTTTTTGGTGTTGGCGGTAGTGTGTGTGTGGGGGGAGAGGGGGCTGCAGCTTGCTAAGTCAAGTACTTTTGTCATGTTCTTTTATGTTCCAACTTAGCAGCTAGTGCCATCTCTCAATTTAAGCTTGTGCCCGTGTGTGTGTGTGCGTGCGCATGTGTGTGTGTGTGTGCGTGTGTGTGTGTGTGTGTGCGCGCGCGCGTGTGTGTGTGTGTGTGCGTGTGTGTGCGTGTGTGTGTATGTGTGCGCGCGTGCGTGCGCGCGTGTGTGTGTGTGTGTTTGTGTGCATGCATACATGGAGCACGCGCATGTGTGTGTATGTGCTTACATGTGTTTACGTAATTTGTATACATGCCTGTTATGTGTAGACAACGATACGTGTCAGCTTCTTCATCATGTCAGAGATCATCATGCGTAATCAGGAGCAAGACCAGTGGGAGGCCTGGTGCTCAGAGCACCCCGGCGAGCGCATCATCGAGATCGAGTCTGGCTTCATGGTTGAGAATGTGTCACATGATCTGCTACAGCCAAACTGTGCGACGTTTGATTGGCATGCATCTAAAGGAGCCAGTGTTATGTTCAAGGTAAAACTCTATTTACTACCATCTGTGCCATGATTTCACACATTTGTGTTACCATATAATGATGGCATATCTCGAGAAGAAGGTGCATTTTGCTCAACAGCCCTTATTATTTTGGTGCATGAGCGCTTCAGCATTTTCTTCTTTTTTCCATTAGTCGCTAGCAAAAGCAAGTACATACTAGAGATTACTAGTAAGCTGCGTTGGTAACTTACAAACTTGAAACTCAGATGATTATGGGCACTGCAGAGGGGACAGGTTAATTTATGCTTACACTTTCCACCGGGCTGCCTCAGTGATCTAGTGAGCACACACACGCTGGGTTCAAGTCTGCGGCTCTCTTGTGCTTTTAATTAAAGTGCTGTCTCTGCTTGTGTCGTGCTTGATGCGGCTCTAGCTGAACTGCCTCAGCTCAGAGTTTTCAGCCAAGAGACATGGTAAGTAACACAATTCAGTTCAAGTTTTACATTATGTTAAACCTCAACTTCTAGCAATGGCTATTGCATTTTTTTAAATATATATTTTTAGTGGTGACGTACTCGTATTAGCGACCATCAATTTTAGCAACTGAAGAATTTCGGTGTACATGTAGCCACACTCGATGACTTCCAAAATCACGGTCGTGAATCACGAGACCTGAAGTTAGCAAATTTGACTCATTTGCGAAATTTGCTAAGGTGTCTGTGACCCTTTTAAAATCCGAGGGTTACCGTCAACCAGCAAAATGCTGAGCGCACTAGTAAATGAGTTAATGTCCATATGCAAGTTAGGCTTCAGATCAATGTCTGCTGGCATATATCCACAATTCAAGGGCTTCCCGTGTTTAGTATGCAGCCTGCACGGGACATGATGGTATGCTCTAGCACTTGGTAGGGAAGTGAAAGCTAGGCTGTAGTTCCTATGGTGCTTCATATTTCCAGCCGTAGGAAGGCTTATCGGGAACGATTTCTAGATTGGTGAGCTTCTTCCTTCCGCATGACCAGGTGGTGAGAAAGGTGCTCTTCTACGGCTGGAAATCGATGCGTACTACCAACACACGGTCAACGACTGCTTCGATCTGTTTCACTGTGCCAACTGCCACATCAAAGTGTTCAAGGTAACTGATCCTACGTCTTCGTGATCATGTGTTTACACCTCTCATGTGAATGTGTGTGGTTGGTGGGTGGGTGGGGATGTCAGCTGCATCAGGAGTGATACGGGTCAGTGTAGTTGAACCATGGTAGAAACATGTTGCTTAGGGTTTTAATTTGAAGGATGTATTTTGCCTACTGCCATCATGTGGCCTTCGATAGCTCAGTTGGTAGAGCGGAAGACTGTAGTGTGCGCATCACTGGGATGTGCAGTCATCTTTAGGTCGCTGGTTCAAATCCGGCTCGAAGGATTTTTTTTACTTTTTTTTGGTATATTTTTTAGGCCTAAACAAAAAATAGGCTTGTTTCCAGTCGGCAACCCCTCAAAAAGGAGACTCGGTCGGCCGGAATAAAACTTTTTTTGGATACTTTTTTTGGTTCCTCAATCGTTGTGGTGTTGATGGACAAGAGCACCTACACATGTACATTGTACATATATCATGGCAAGGATCAATGTCAAAGTTGACTGACTCACTGTTCTTGTACAGCATGTGGTGTATTCCTGTTTTCGTACATCCTGAGAAATCAAGCAAACAGTTCGAGTCCTTCCAGCTCCGTTATTCTAACTCGTATCGATCCCGGAGGTTTTCGAGCCGACAGCTGAGAATCTCTGCTACCTTGTAGGTGTTTCGATTGCGGAATTCGGTTGAGATTTGACTGAGTTATGACTCGTTGAGTGCACTTGCACACATGGCATTGCCACCGTTTGTATGCATTTGGGACCAAAAAAAAGTTTCAGAATTTGGGAAAAAGTGGCCCGGTCGGGCGACCGGAAACAAGGTCATTATTTGTTTTGGCCTTATTTCATTTTGTTCACGAGCAGTGCCGCTGGATTCTGTCTGTACTGACCGGCTGGTATACATTGCGTATGTTTCCAGGAAAAGGGAGCGGACCGCAAGAACAAGGTGGAGATGCAGAAGTTCACGGGTCTCTCGGAAGAGGACAAGGTGTGGCCACCAAATCTTTCAATAATTTATAGATTTGGATAGCATATCTCTGTTACATACACTACCAGCAGAGTGCATCACTCCCCATAGTGTGCAAATACCTTCACTGGCCTATTCGATCCAGTGCTGCAACAGTGGGTTGCCTCCCAAATTAGTTATAGTTATCATGTACAGTGTGCCGCAAGTGATGTGTATGCATTTGTCAGGTGATGCGACATGCTGCTATACATGGACTGCATGCTGTTGCATACTGTCGGTGGTTATAATAATCTTGATTTGACATGTACGTGTAGGCTGTGAGATGCGCATCTGTCGCACCATGGCAAATGCACTGCACACTTTCGCTGAGGTTTTGCTGCATTTCTACATACCACATATACGTGGATGCAATGCACCGCGTCTCTTCTTTCTGCGCTTCAATGATTAGCTAATTCTTTGTCATGTGCATTCTGCTGCTGCTGCTGGTGGTGCTGGCGGTGGCGGTGGGAAATTCTGTCCCATCTCTGTGTGATGATTAGGCTGGACTGCGAGCACCGTTCTCAATGAGCGTCTTCCAGGATGTGAGTACATACATACACATACCAACTTGGTACATGCCTATCATGTAAATAGCTAGCTACATTTGCCTGGTCATGGCATTGAAAAACAGATTCTGGAGTTGCAAGTTGTTTTTAATTGAGACTCAGCCTCTGCCAGTGTTACACACACGGCGTTGCTCTGTAAGGTGTAGACATATACCGGGGTCTATGCCAGCTATTGCTTGTCAAGCTGGGTATACATGTACATGATTCTTGAACTCTGGCTCAACTCACACTACGAACTGAATGTTTGTACAGTATACAGTTAGTCAAGGACAGCATGATTAGTTGTTATACAGACTGAGACAAAATTGACAGGCTGGCTATAATACAACTTGCGGGGGGGGGGGGGGGGGGGGAGTTAAAACTACTTTGGCAGGTGCCTTAGTGGTAGTTTCATTTTTTTTTGACAAATCATTGGTAAAGGGGCTGTCACTGCCTGTCGACAGTGTGCCCTTGTAAACAAGCATCCGAGGCTCAGGCTGAGTGACTAGTTTCTGCCATGTTCCGGATGTGGTGCATATCAATGCCATAGCTATACATGATAGAATGGTGGCTTATAGCTTCTATTATTCCAATCTGCTGTTGTTGTTTGGTTGCTGACTGTGTGTGTGTGTGTGTGTGTGTGTGTGTGTGTGTGTGTGTGTGTGTGTGTTGTGTGTGTGTGTGTGTGTATGTGTGTGCATGTGCGTGGATGCGGGTGAGCCGGCGTGTGTGTGTGTGTGCGTGTGTGTGTGTGTGTGTGTGTGTGTGTGTATAGTTCTGTGTTGATGCCACCTCTGCGCAAAAGCAGCTACCACCTGGAGTAACCACTCTGTAAGTACGGAGTAGTAATCATGTTGCCATAGCACCACAGCTGCTGAGCATGTACACTGAGCTTGCTTGTGAAAATCAGTTGTTCACACTCACCGGGTTGGAAATATTTTTGTACAGTCTGCTTTGATTTGGGTTTGGATTTGTAGTCTTTGAACTTGATTTTGGAGCAGTATCAGTAGCAACCCCGACCCTGGTTTTCGCACAGAAACGGGAGAGTGGTACCTCTGTTGGCCTCTAAGTGATGTACGTGGCAATTGTAATTGGCATACCATAGTGTTCAAGTTATTTGATAGAATATCTGATATGGGTTTGTTTGCTTTCAAACTCTAGGCTGCTGTGGCCTCGTAGTCGACATGCGTGTGTGTGTGTGGGGGGGGGGGGGTAACCTCACTTCACTGCTTCTAATGGGTATTACTTCTTGATCTCTCTCTCTCTCTCTCTCTCTCTCACACACACACACACACACACACACACACACACACACACACACACACACACACACACACACACACACACACACACACACACACACACACAAACACACACACACACACCACAGGGACACAACTACCTTCATAGCCGGTCCGTACAGCGTGGGTAGCATGACAAGTCCGCCCTCATCGGTCTCTACTACCGGCAGTGCTGCAGCAGCCACTACACCGGGCAGTGTTGGCGGTGCTGCTGGCGGTGGTGACCTGGCAGTGGCTACTCCAGCCATGGTCACTCCAGGTGCTGTGTCAAATTCCGTGGACTCGGGCACAGAGTCCATTGCGGATGTGCTTAGCTGTGTTCTCGCGCAGGCCCAGCCATCTCCACTGGCAACTTCGTTAAGCTTTGAGCCAGAGGTATGTACGAGTATGTGTGTAGTGTTGTTCTTTGCTTTCCCTCATGCTTTTCGGCTTGGTGAACACTAGTGGAGCTGCTTTAGAGAACCCTGAGTGGGTTGTGGTGTGGTTGTTCAAACTTGTTTGCCATCTTAGCATGATTCTGTTTGGACATCCGAGACCCACTCTTGCACAGCGAATGTTCTCTCATCTGATGTTCATTCGCACATAGCAACAAGTATGCCATCACACCAGTCAACAACTATCAAGCATATTCTCCAACAGGTTTTCCACCCATTCTCATTCATGGCTTACTTGTACATAGGAATAGAGTGCAGAAAGTGTAATATAAAAATAAGCCATAATAGAAAGAGGCACGTAGTGGGACTTAGCGCTAATGGGTAGTGACGATAGCCTACCACACAAGCCGGAAGTACTTGGGAGAGAGAAATGAACACCGGTATGAGTAAAGCAGGCACAGCTCCCCCCCTCTCTCTCTCTCTCTCGCGCGCGCGCGCTTTCTCTCTCTCTCCCCCCTCTCTCTCTCTCTCTCTCTCTCTCTCTCTCTCTCTCTCTCTCTCTCTCTCTCTCTCTCTCTCTCCCTCACACTTCTTCGTATAAACCAAACGAGAGGTTATCGTCATGATCACTAGCTGCTAGCGCTAAATCTCATTACATGCCTTTCTATTATAGTATACAGTCAGACCTCGCTTATCCGGTCCTCCTTCATCCGGATCCCTCGGCATCCGGAAGAAAATAGCTGGTTACAGATTTACAACATACGCATTGCATCCAACATAACCGGTGTTCGGTTATCCGGTTCCCTCGCCTATCCGGATATTTTTGTGGAAAACGGATGTGTGCGGTTAAGCGAGGTCTGACTGTAGTATACTTGTAAGTAAAATCATCATCATTGCATAGTTGGTCTTGCTTTAGTTCATTCCCATGTATCCACTGATGAGAATGGGTTGAGAGGCTTTTGGCAAGTATCCTTGACAGTTGATTGGGTGCTGAAATTGGCAACCGTGTGGCTATGCGCGATTTAAAATACGTCAGCTCGAATTCTCCCACATCCCTTCTTGATTGATTTAAATGGTGGTAAATACACACCCGGCAATATGGCGGTAAATACACACCTGCCCACACACGCTCTCTAGGCTGCCAAGTTATTCTGGCACAGAGCTCTCCTTCTCGCCACTACCACCACCATCAGTTTGCGCCTGGCGCCTAGTCGATGCATGGCTGGTGGTATCCGACATAGCAGGCTGGTACATCAGGTAGTGCATGGCACATAGCAGATGACACAGCAACAGCATAGCTCGATTGCGACGTACGCTTCATCCCTGCTGGACTCATCAGGCAATCTTCTTCTTGGCTGTCTTCACACGGAGCTTGATTCTGGAGAATGAAATTGAATACATGTACACGAATGCAGTTGTACTGATGGTTGATTCAAATGGTGGTAAATGCCCACCAGGCAATATGATGGTGGTGGTGGTGAGAAGGAGAGCTCTGTGCCAGGAATAACTTTGCAGCCTAGAGAGCGTGTGTGGGCAGGCGTGTATTTACCGCCATATTGCCGGGTGTGTGTTTACCACCATTTGAATCAACCATATAAGTACAGCTGCATTGGTGTCTTCAATTTCCTTCTCCGTTCTTGATGTTGAATCATTTCTGAATGTACGTGTATTTTTTACCTATGTACACTTGTCCATTTAAAGCCGCTGCGTGTGGACTCTACGGTGGAGCAGACCCAGGAGTGGTTGAAGGGCAATGGGTTTGGCATGCATCTACAAACGTTAGCCAATTTTCTGGTGAGTGTGCTAGGCCATAGCCTTGTAGAGAGCTTGAACTGAGTGCTACACTGACAGTCAGTCATGGGAATGCTGAGTTTTACGGTCCACTTTTGAAATTGGATACAGGTTTCGTGTGGATCTGTGTTGCTTTCTTACTTCCGAACTTGCCAGCCGTGTCATTTCAATTCAGGAATTAGACACTACAACAGATGCTTCAAGAAGCTGTGGTATGTGGTAGCTGCTTGGCTGACTGAGCATTTGTTCAAGCAACACTGAAAAACGGCCGCAAACGTGGGGTGGCCTGAGCCGCTCCTATCCAATAGCCGATAGTTCTTTAGAAAAGTTTGCATTGCATGTACTTTGAAGCATTGCGGTGCAGTTTGTTATCATGCCTGCTTTGAATGATTGCGTTGGGACTGGCTGTGTCTGGAATGTTTAAAAGGCGTGGACCTTCTCAAACTGCAACGTGCTGACATGAAGGAAATACTCGGTGAGGCGGAGGGCATTCGGCTCAACAATGCTATGCAGACAAGGTGAGTGATTGTCATGGCAACTACTGGCCTGTATTACTTGATGACGTAATGTGTCAATACCGAGCCCCCGGACCATGGGCAATCAAACAGTAGGTACCAGGAGGAGGAGGCTTCAACAGCATTCACTGACAACAATAGTGTAGCCTTGGCATACACACACACACACACACACACACACACACACACACACACACACACACACACACACACACGGTCATCGTCATCCTCATCCTCAACATCTGGATTGGTAGCTGTTTCACCTTCTTATGTCTCATGTGAAGAGCTCAGAGTTACTGGCTTAACCAGTCACAGTCAAGCCAGGTGAACAACAAGAGCATTTTTTAACAATTTTTTTATTGGCTCAATGCACTTAAGTAGGGATATCAGCGAACGCACTGCGCAGCCCATCTGCGCAGGTCAGCCTGGCCCATCTACGCGCGGCCGACA